GAGTGCTATGATGTATCTATGATACCAATATCATGTTTAAATAGCAGTTATTGTGTTGGTATTATGGTGCTCCGAGTGTTGTTATACTGTTTTAGCTATGCTATCTTGTATAATACTTCCAATTGTATCTTTATAATATTACCTAGGTATAAGATTAACTTTTTCACTGCCTGGGGTCATTATAATATTGAGATTTTTTGACTCGCTCACTATAATTTCCTGTTACTTAGTAATGCCAGTATATATAACAGGAGTCTCAGGTTGCAAAGGTTATTTCCTTATATATGTCAAATTCCTCAATTTTTTAAGAATTTTTTATTTATTTATTTTTTTTTTGGTGAATATCACACAAAAATCAGTGAAAATCATGCAAAATTTGACTTAATTGTGATGTCCTCGGAAGTAAAATGCTAAACCGGCCCTCTGGAATAAGCATTACCCTTGTGGAAATCTTGTGACCCTGTCTGGTTAGATATCCAGCTTAATATGCTGCTTTCCTGTACTGTACTGATAATGACATATCAGTGTCTTTGTTGTGTCACTTCTGATAAATGTCATGACTTCTGAAAGATATTTCACAGCAAAACTGTTAATGACTTTGTACCAGAAAATTCAAAGCAGGAGGTGGTAAAGATTGGAAGTCGAGCTTCATAATTTATATGGTCAATTTTTTTGATATTTGACCAGCCTGCGCATGCGCGCAGTCTGATCAGGATACATGCTGTTCGCTATCAGTTTCTCTACTTGCTATAGGGTTTGTAAGCGAGCAGCATGGATCCTGATCAGACTGCACGGATGCGCAGGCTGGTCTGGATCCATGCTGGTCGCAAACCCATTATGTTGGTTTTGTCATGACACGGCTCATTTATTGTCTGTTATAAGCTCACCTTGCAAAAAAATAACATGATAATCGCATCAATACAAATTATTTATTGCAAATACATATTAAAATATATGTTTTATATTGTTAAACTACAATACATGGCATGACAACTGCCCCTTCCTCTCCCCCACACCCTGTGGAATCAAATGAAGCCATGCCTTGCTTATTGCGATGATGCCCGGAATTAAAAGTGAATAATTTTCTGCAATATTAAATCTGCAATTCCATAAAGAAACTAGATTTAATGTGATGGTTGGTATGTACCTTGATGTGAGAGCCTCAGGTGTATATTATGTAATTTTGATTGAAACCACACGATTTCATCGCTTTAATACCATTTATACTGTTTTTATGTTTCTATTAATCTATTTTATCACTTTGACAAAAATCGAAATGGTTTGTATTTCATTCATTGCAATTTTGTCACTGTAGTCAGAAAGCTCGGTGCTTGATTCTGTAACAAAATAGAAAATAATGTCGGAAGTTCGGTATCCCTTTTCTAGGAGAGAATGGAAAAAGTCAGCTTTTGGTATACTGTTACGTAATAAAGAGGCAAAAATGTCAGATGTTTATATGTCTGTAAATAGATTAAATGAAAAGAAGTCTATAAGTCTTATGTAATAGTCTGTGGTTGACATTTAATGTAATAAATTATTTATTTTGTTTTTTTCTTCTTTAGTCATGGTGGTATATTATGTTTATTGAAAATTAGAAATTGTCTGATTTCTACAGGATTATGTTACAATATGATGACAGTTTCAGGGAGAAAAATACTTTTTATGACACGTATTATGTGTTTGATGCGACAAGTATATATGTATGATGCAAAGTTTTTGTGTTGCTTGCCAGTGCTGTTATATGATAAATCAAGAAATAACCACTCGGCAATGCCGCCACTTCAACGTCGGAAAGTAATCTATGAATAGCAAGCCATGCGGGTTCATATCCCCGTCAGGGACAAGTTGCTGTCACATGTGCATGCAACTAAGTATTTGCATGCACATGTGACAAGCCATTGTTAAAGTCACATGTGCATGCAAGTACTTAGTTGTTTTATCGTGTTTATAGTAATTATGTCACCTTAGCACAGAAACAGGTTATATCATATCAAATTTTGACACCCGTTACTGCACTTAGGTGCCGATTAATTACTACACTGTACCTTTTATCATTCACACCACAAGACAAAGCCCGACACCTCTGTGTCATACATGGTTATCCTGTTACTGAAGATAACTAAAATTACTGCAAAATATTACTACTAGGTCTAATGTTGCAGCGTAACTTTCATAATTTTCGTAAATATTGACAAGCTCGAGAAAGTTGTCTGATCAGGACTCCGGTGACGAGTGACGGTTGTATTTCTTCATTGTCATCAGGTCTGGTTACACCCAGATTTCTGACTTAAAACTGATAAATATGAATATATAGATAAGTTGTATGAACTTATTTTACTGAATAGATGTTATCGGGAACTCGGCAAATGTTGGTTTTTCCCAGCTGGTCTGCTAAGGTACAAGCAAAATTATACTGTTATATAAGCTTTACGGTGCACTTCCAGTCGCAATAGATTAGTAAACCTGTTTTGCTTAATTTTCAAAGCTGTAACTGTAAAAGTTTGTTTGTACCTATACCTACAGACTGATAATCTAGGAAAAACCCAAAGAGTCCATTAAGTTAAAAAGAAAAAAGAAAAAAGCTTTTTCTTCTAACCTGTTGAATTTTGTAATAGGCTCCTTTGAATTTGGAACAGTCCATTCAAAAGAAAAGGGATTTTAATATCAAAAATATCTAAAAACTGAGCTAACAACAGTAAAGAGCTTGGTACTAGACTGCAAAGAATTACAGACTGGTACCAGGCTGATTTTAAAGGTTTAAAGGCCCATTAAGCCTCAGAAATCCTTTTATTTTTGTGTCTCAAAAGATTATTATTTTTTGTGTAATTTTAAATAGTTTTAAAAAAGCTACTGATTGGCCAAAAATCATAACCATCTTTTGCTTCTGTTACTTTTTTGGCAAGTAATACATTTATAGTGATTAAGTATTTTGTATGGAAATCTAAATGTTTTGTAACATTTGCTACTATTATGACAAATAATTTCACATTTAGCGCTACTTTCTTCAGATAATATAAGCATTCTATTAATATAATCTTATACCAATATTTAAACAGTATAAAACTCATGTTTGTCCTTTCTAAAGAAGTAAATATTCATTTATTTCTGAGGCATAATGTGCCTTTAACACTAAGTATAGGTTAGTTGTGCCTGACCAGTTTAATTTGTATGTACATACTAATAAATTTTAACCAGCTTTAAGTGTTTTAAATTATTTTCGTAAACAGTCGATTTACTGGACTGATTAACAGTTTGCCGATTTACCAAAGTAAATCGATTCATTTGAAATACTGCAATCCTATTGGGCAAAAAAAAATTTCAAACATGACCGAAGCATGAAAATATAAACCAATATTTTGTCAATGCTACCAGTGCTGAACAGGGGCGAATCAGTTCATGTATTAACGGCTTGAAAACTTGACAACTTTTGAGCAACATTCATTAGATTTATTTTTTGCATTAAAAACAACTTGATGTAATAGTTTATATATCAGAAAGTTTAGCAGTATAAACACATAGTATTAAATTATCATTAATTAAGCCCTCCGTTGCATTTTTATGCTAAAATTTTGTTTCCATAAATCAGTAAACACATACGTCTGAACTAACAACAAATGCATTTAGAGGAAATAATGTTCAGATACTGCCAGCAAGAGGTTTCATGGAAAATTGTTTATTTTGCTTGCTTATATTTTATTTGTCTGAAAACAACTGTTAGTAAATTATATCTAAGACAGTGTGATTCAATTGTTTGTTTGCTTTGGTTTGATGTACTGGCAAACATTAGTACAACTTTGAGCTTATTCAAGGCAAGGCATATCAACAATATTGATATCGAATGACAAAATATCAACAACACACTGATCACGGTGCATATCCATATCGGTACCCTCTTTGTGAAATCTGCTCAAACGGTACCCTCTCTGAACATGCACAGGTCATTCTCTGCTAAAAACAAACCAGCGATGGATACCAATCCAGTAAAATTTCATTATAATAAGGAAAGGAGGTATGTCACGTAGACAAGATGTATACCACAGAACACTAGGATGTTTTATTTATGTGCTGATTTGTCATGTGCCCGATTTTCATGTACTGCAACTTCACAATAAGCTACAAAAAATCGACGTGTCTTGCTTCGCCCATCACCTCGACATATTTTTCGGGCTGAAATGAACCTGTGGCTTTATTATATATGCATCATACATATTTAATATGTTCATATACATATCATCTTCGGACAAATGGCAGTATATTGTCAAAAATAAATGTAAAATTCATAAAAACACCCTACTTTCGGTTTTGCAGCGGCACGGGCTACCTCTCTTCGTTTGAATTTTTATATCACAGGTACCCTCTCATTATTGAACACATAGGTACCCTCAAAGCACGACATATGCTTTTATTTGCGTTAATCGTTAAGTGTGTATGTAATACTTTTTACTTTAATGTAAATATTACTGGATTGGTATCCATCGCTGGTTTGTTTTTAGCAGAGAATGACCTGTGCATGTTCAGAGAGGGTACCGTTTGAGCAGATTTCGCAAAGAGGGTACCGCTATGGATATGCACCGTGCTGATATATATCAATAATTACCTAAAATCACTTGTCTGTCATTCACTTTTAGTCCTGTTTAAAAGATTTTAGTTGAAAACAATTGTCCTGTTCAGTGTCTTGTTAATAAAAGCCCATTGCATGATTTTTATCCAGACCATTTTTTTGTCATCATTGCTGTGAAAATTCCACTATGTAACAACAAATTGTATTTAATTTTAATGGGTCACTCATGAGTGGTGGAACTCATAATACCACAATTAAAAACAAACCCAGGAAATTTCATAGCAAATGTACCAATATTTGTGGCATGAAAATGGTTAGAAATTTCTCTGAAAAACTGGTAAGACGGAAAAGTGAGCATTGCAGCCTGGAACTATTTAAAGATATTAATACTATATTTTTAGCCAAATAAATGTCAAAATGAATTGTTTTCTCTTTTCAGACTTCAAACAGTGATGTAATGCTCGGACCGATGAAATTAAAACAGAAGTCCATGTCTGTAAGTAACTTTAACTTTAAAATATTATATAATGTGTATATGTATGATTGATAAGGGATAGTTCTAAAAAGTCTGTACTAGTCAGCCTTTTGGCTCTGTAATGTGATTTGAAGGAATATCATGCCAGTGTTTATACAGGCTGACAGTTTAACGTCACAAAGCATTTCTGTACAAATTAGTCACTCGGATCTCAATGTAGATAGATTGCAGTGGGTGCTTATGATGATGATCGGTGGATAGTAGTGGATGCAGTGATAATTGGTAGATAGAAGTGGGTGCAGTGATAATTGGTAGAAAGAAGTGGGTGCAGTGATAATCAGTGGATAACAGAGGCGGCAGTGATAATCCGTGGATAGTAGTGGGTAATTGGTAGATAGCAGTGGGTGCAATGATTTTATAGAAATCTTGTCTGATAACTATTAACTAATGCAGGGTTACATAATAAGCAAGTTTAATTGCTCTCTACACCAACTAAAATTACTAACAAAACTTTTCTTAGTTACTTAAGTAGACTAAGTAGTATTAATTATCATTATTCTTTGGCTCTCTTAGCTCAATAGGGAATGTGGGAAATGTGCCAGATTTGTTATGAAGGGATATTGGTTCGATGCTCAGTCAAGGCTAAATTTCTCTTTGACAGTTGAGTCTAATGGTCATAAGTCGATTAAAGAGTTTTCAGGAAGGGTGGAGACATTTATAACTTCTTGTATAACCATGGTAGCTATATAGGTCTTGGAATCCAATTTTTTGTCAGGGATTTTGAATCTGTCATGAATATTAAATTCTGCATATGCCAGTGCCAAGGGAGTAGCTGCTGTTTACCACTGCCGTCCACGATAAACCTCAATTAACCAGTCCTGATACACGCAAGGCCAACTGTAATTGTCACTGTTGTATATAAGACAAAATATGAAGGTTCCCATAATTTCATTGTAATTTCTAGATATTTTTCAGTTTTTCATTTCGAACGTGATCGTGATCTGAAATGCCAAGTCTGTCTGTCAAGTTTTGTGCCTTACCAAATTTGATAGAGCCTTTCTGCTTGTTATACGACTGCTCATTTCATTACAGTTCAATGCATTCCCCCGTAATATTTGTCTGTTATCCAAAATTGCATTAGTCTACAGTTTAAAGGACATTGTCTTTGCTATTATAAATAAGAGTTAGACCGTGTTTCAGTTTTGAAAAAACTGTCTGCCTTTCAGACATAAACAATTTTAGATACAGTCTAATATTGTAATATAATAAAGTAATTATGTTCTTTTGGAAAAAATTTTGGAATTTGCAAGCCCATTTTCTTGAAATTTAGGGAGTGTAACACTGTCAAGACAGTTCCTATAGAAGTCTGGTTACTTAATGCATTTAATGGCGGAATTGTTCGTGTTATTAGAATTTGTTGCTAAAGAATATCAACCCTTAAATTAACCGGCTGAATGTTTTAAATGAATAGTCCAGCCAAATACATTGTTAATTTGTGGGATATCAAGATAATATTATAAAAATTAGAAGTTGGTCAGTTAACAGTATAGAGGGTGGTCCCGGCCTGGCTCTTAGCTGCTTACTGGTGACAAATGTTATATATATAATCAGGGTGAATTTAGATTTCAAAAATAAAATTACACTTATCCCATTTTTAACCCTTACCTCCCTAAATATTGACCTATACAGTGTGTCGGTGCGCATAACACCCAATCAAACAAACGAACAAACTTCCCTAACTATCTGAAATGGACTTGTTCATCTTTCGATCTGGACTGAACCATTCACTTTGTATGTTGCTGGAAATGCTTGTATATTACTGGAAATGTTTGTATATTGCTAGGAATGCTTGTATTTTTCTGGGAATGCTGGTATATTACTTGGAATGTTTGTATATTGCTGGGAATGTTTGTATATTACTGGGAATGTTTGTATATTGGTAGGAATGCTTGTATTTTTCTGGGAATTCTGGTATATTACTTGGAATGTTTGTATATTGCTGGGAATGTTTGTATATTGCTGGGAATGTTTGTACATTGCTGGGAATACTTGTATATTGCCAGAAATGTTTGTATATCGCTAAGAATGCTTGTATTTTTCTGGGAATGTTTGTATATTGCTGGGAATGCTTGTATATTGCTGGGAATGTTTGTATATTGCTGGGAATGTTTGTAATATATAGCTGGGAATGTTTGTACAGTCAACTATCGTTATCTCGACATCGCTTTTTTGGATATTTCGTTATCTCGATGCAATTTTGAAAGTCCCGATTTTCTTCCTTCTTTATCTATATTGGAAATATTTGTTTATCTCGATATTTCTATTTCGATATTTCTCGATGTAAAAATTTCAGCCCCAACAGTTATTTTCACACTATTAGCCTTTGTTTATCTCGACTAATAGTTTCCTTTCGTCTGTCCCCTTCAGACGTGTGAAAAACACAATCTAGACGATAATTGCTCAATTAATAGCGCGTGTCATAATGACGATTATGTTTGTAACAAGTTTAGCTGTTTTTATAAAAGTTAATCTTTTTAGCGTGTTGATTGACTTATGTCCAAAATGAGTGAATGTTACATTCTTTTTAAAAATTCAAACACTGTATCAATTCATTATGACTTTAAATGTAAATGAAATAGTGAAAGTATAGAAACGCTATCGTTGCAATATTGTTTCACAACATCACCACCAAATCAATCAGCGGTAGAACAATCTCGAGAAAGACCCGATAAATAACCCAGGAGGATATCCGAATCAACCATATCCGATATCCGATTCACTATATTGGTGTATTACTGAGTAACCTCACTATGTGTTTTTTATCACAGACACCCGTATTTCCGCTGGTAAACATCCGCTAATGTTACTTTGTTAAATATTGACTAGGCCTATGAAAACAAGACATAGGGATATTATAGTTTATTTGACATAAGGTATGCACATGTCTTTTGTAAAAATCAGTTTCGCTTCGTATTAACCCTAATATGTTTATCTCGACATTTCGTAATCTCGATATTTTTTGGACGGTCCCAATGACTTCGAGATAACGAGAGTCAACTGTATATTGTTGGGAATGCTTGTATATTGCCTGGAATGCTTGTATAATTCTGGAATGCTTTTATATTGCTGGGAATGTTTGTATATTCTAATATTGCTAGGAATGCTTGTGTATTTTTGGAATGCTTGTATATTGCTGGGAATGCTTGAATATTGCTGGGAATGTTTGTATATTGCTTGGAATGCTTGTATATTGCTGGGAATGCTTGTATATTGCTGGGAATGCTTGTATATTGCTGGGAATGCTTGTATATTTCTGGAAATGTTTGTTTATAGATAGGAATGCTTGTATATTACTGGAAATGCATGTATATCGCTGGGAATGTTTGTATATTGCTGGGAATGTTTGTTTATTGCTGGGAAAGTTTGTATATCGCTGGGAATGCTTGTATATTACTGGAAATGTTTGTATATCACTGGAAATGCTTGTATATTGCTGGAAATGCTTGTATATTTCTGGGAATGCCATCAGAGATTTCTGAGTTTCTGGAACACTTGTATGTCTTTTGGAATGTTGGTATGTTTCTATGATTGTTTGAGTGTTTCTAGGAATGTTTGTGCATTTCTAAGAGTGAATGTAAGTAAATTTCTTGGAAGTCCTTGTATACATTTGGAATTGCTTGTATATTTCTGGGAAAGCATTGTATGTTTTCTGGAAATGCCTTTAATATTTCTTCTGGGAAATTTGCATGTTTCTTAGAATTCATTATTTGGTTTTGAAAATCATAATGAAGCATGTTTAAAATTATTGGAAGTGATTCTCTTTTTAGATTCTGTTCATGTTTTTGTATGAATTATAAACTTGTTTTATTGTTTATGCTAGGTGTTCCTGTATAAGATTTTGCTTTAGCAAATATAAATAATTTTCAGGTTTTGTCTTTTTCAATATTGGGTTAAACAATTTATCAGTATTGGCCTATACAGGTTTTTCGAATTTTTCAATGGAGACTTTTAGATGCCACTTTGTCCTCTTTCCATATGTTCTTCCTTTCCATAAAATAGTGTTTTTCAAAGTTTCATCATTAATTTATTTAAAGCATGGATATTTTTTAAATATTTCACCTTACAGGGACCTCTTTTTTGGGTTGGATTACAGCTTAATTGGCTCAAGGTCAAGGTGAATGTTACTGTGGTTGAAAACAGATATTTATACCTTTTGTTATTATGGTTAAAACCATGTTTGAGCTTTGCCAATGGCAACGCATGTTTTGAAAATAAATATTTTTGTTATTTCAGATACTGCTGGTATTCTCCAGGGAGGACTACCAAAGTGATGCCTTGTATTGGGCGGCAGAAAAGGCAGGCTATAAATGTAACATATCTCGGAACCCAGAGAGTGCCCTGGAATGTTTTTTATCGAAGCAACATGATGTTGTGATTATTGACCACCGGAATAACAAATTGTTCGATGCTGAAGCTCTTTGCAGGTTTGGTTTTTACTGTTAGAGTAGTTAATAGACTTACTCGGGAAATATATTTGGGTTTTCCCAAGCTAATCTGGAGATACAAACAAACTTTTACAGTTATAGTTTTGAAATTAAGTGCAACAGATTGAGTTATATGTTCTGACTGATAGTGCACTGTGAAACTTTAACTGTAAAAGTTTGTTTTTAACCGAGGGATTAGCATGGAAAAACCCACATTTGCCGAGTTCCGGATAACATCTATTGATCTACATGTATTGATCTCTCCCCCAGATTTTGTATAATGGTCATGGCCTACTTCTAATTTCGGATTGTCTTTTGTTGACTTTGGGGATTTCATGATTGGAGAAAGTTTTGTACAATTCTTGTCCGGGCATTATCTTGTTCTTGTTGTTTCCTTTTCTTTTTCAATTGAGTTCTATCACATTTTTACATTGAATATCTTTGACTTTGCAATGGCACATACTCGGGGCGCATAATGCTCCAGCAGACGGAGGTGTTTTGCCCAAGTGCGATTAAATAGGGGTATACGGTAATTTGAATTTTTACAAGAAGTATGCTTAGAATATATCATGTGACGAGAATCTTTTAATTTAAAATTGGATTGTGATGCAGCGTTACTTTTCTGCATTAAAATAACAAAAATTATCTTACCGAATTGGCACAATATCTGTTATTTCTGAGACAAAATTAATACTTTCTTGTGAGGAAACATAGAGTGGGTGGTTTAACAGTGACTGTAAATTAATTATAACTATTGATATTCTCACTGAAGAAATTTAATAAAGGTTTTTATGAAAAGACAATTTCTTTCGTTTCAATTGTAATATGTTATGAATAGTTTTCTATCTACAAAATTAACGAGCAGAATTTCTTCTACAGAATAAATTCAAGAGTATTTAGTATTTGAGATTGAAATTGTTAACACTTAAATTGTCAATAAATAAAAAATATTAAATGAAATTGTCTTGTGAAAATATGGTTCCCCATTCTGTTTTGAATTTTAAACTCTTCATTGTTGATTGCAAAATCTAGAGTTTTGTAGTGAAAAATGCAGTTAAGTTTAGTCATATTAAACAGTCATTCAATCTTGCCTGTGGTCTTAAACTGATGGTTTTTGACAAGTTTGGCATTTTTTGCTCATCTCGGTATTTATTAAAAATATTAGATTATTTAAAAAAATGGAATGTTTTTGCAACCTGTATTGAGTCAGACCAATATGCACATTATTTGGTAGCTCAATTTTTGTAATGTTTTGTATTTAATTTTGATGTAGAAATTCATTTAAATGAACTCTTCCAAATCCAAAGCTCCATGGGAAAGTTCATTTCACAAATTGAGTTAGTTCAGTGTTCAATCTCTTAACGAACAAAAATATTTAACAAACAAGTTGTGCTATAATCTCCTATTCTTTCAAGAAAGGAAGCTTTTCCACGCAGAGAAAATTATTTTTAAGTCAATCTTTTCGGTACCATAGGATGTCTCGTTATTTATAATTATTTTTTGTCTGTGCGTTTCTTCATGCCTATTTCCCCGAATTCATTGTAAGGCTTCCTTTGATGGCAAGAATTGATTTTCCATAGCAGTCAAATTACATTCCGACTCTGTCACAAGAAATTCCAGAGGATTGAAAGAGACCTAATACTGAAAAACTAAATTCCTTAATTTCCATCAAAATTAGTGTGGTTCTGGTAAATTAAAATTAACAGCCAATTTGACCTGTTAACTATAGGGAATTGTTGTCGACCTGTAAGAAGTGCCGTGGACTTTTATAATAAATATATCAAGAGCTTTCATTTTGTTTGCCCTGAATTGCCGAAATTGTTCCCCGGGTGACAAATATGAGACACAGGTCTTGCCGTAGACTATTTTTATGTCAATTTGCCTGTCTTTCTTATAAATGGTTACTTTGTCTGCATTGTGTTCTTGATTTTACGTCTGCTGCATTTACACAGTTTTTTTACCCCTGTACATGTTTGTTTTGTTGTGAACTAGGGTAAAATTTGCTTGGTCTTTTTTTGGATGACGGACTTGACTTTGGACCCCATTCATCTATTGCAAATAGTTCATCATTCCTCCTGCCTGAAACAATGTCCTGTATATTCAAAAGATTATCAATGAATAAAATTGCTATATATCATACAGAAATATTCATGATTAACCAATCCCACTAGTTTTGTTCTCCGAATTATGCTCTATTTTGGAATATATATCCCCTAAGAATGCTTTGAGGAGGTAACGCAGGATTTATATGTTCACATATAAGTAATAACTCTTAATTGTCTATGATGGTGACGCACTTAACTATGTCGTCTGCTTAATTTATAATTTTGAAGTTAAAATATCTGTAAACTAACAACAGGGATCGTAATTTAAAAGCTTCGCAAGTCCAATGTTATAGCAGTATAGCAGGTAAGTTGATGGTGTTTCTTGCCCCTGCAGATTTAAAAGACTTTGAGCTTAGAAATCAGGGCCAAGTTCAAGTCTTTGGTGAGGTGATTTATTTTTTAACTTCAGCCTAGACTTTATATAAAGCTTTAAAGCTTCGAAACAAAAGTATTTTATTAAAAATCTTCCTGATTTAAAGTTTTAGAAGTGTAAGAGTAGTTTTTAGGATTGACTAGCATCAGACGCGATGAATAATTATGCAGTTTAGTTATTATATGTGGTGACACACACAGGTGTTTACACATATGCCAAAAACAAAGAGGTAGGCTCCGATTTTGGACCAGCACATCCATGTGGTATGACATATGACTTTAACCCTTACCAAGCTAAAATATCTTGAATTAACACATCCATCCTCCAAACTGGACAAATCCATTTATCATTTTTTATGGATAATTTCAGAGTAATAATAAATAGTGCAGACGATGATCGGATGTCCGCACTTATCGGAAGTGACGAAGTGTGAAAATATTTTTTCTCACTATTGTAGTATTTTTACATAGATCTTCCTCCAGCTGATGATGGACTGATCCAAATTCAAAGCCAGACAAGTCCATTATACAAATTTAGGCTGAAAAGGTTAATCATATCATAACTTTGTGAGAGCCGTCTGCTGTATTAAATAGCTCTGTGAAACAACTTTCATGCCACAGGATCCATTGCAAGATAGTTGATAGAATCAGTTACAAGTTACAGTTTGCCAGTTTTTTTTCTTGTTTCTGCATTATTCATGGTAACAGAGTATGACATAATTACTGATAGAACTCTCTGATGAAAGCAGACGCCAGTCGCTATGTAACCCTCATGGGACTTGTGCATAACATGATTATGGCATTTAAATTTTCAGACATTCATGGTCTTTTGATATACTGCACAAAAAATCAACCAAACTGCAAGTATAAGTAATAGCCTTGTGTTCGATGATTAAAGCAAGAATATCATAAAATCTCGTCCAATATCTCTGCTGATTTTCTGTGAAATTAAATGTTAAGCCCAGTGAAAAGATTAATGACAGTTTTTTAAGGATTCGACCGAATTATTGATCATATACGTGCAATAATATTATATAAACATTATAACAATATAATATTGAATTTTACTAGTATGAATCTGACGAAGTTTGTTGTCTCTAAATCAAGAATTGTTGTATGTAACCGAAACCTCACTTGCATTACAGAATCATGTTTGAATGAATTAGAGTATAAATATTATTAAAGTTGCAGCCCTTGTTTCTTACAAGAGTTACAGCACTTGTACAAAAAAGGTCATCGATATTTTTTTATTTGATCATGATTATGCATTACCTTTTCATCTGCTGATTTTGCATTATGGACTTCTCTAGAAGTGGCAGCCCTTGTTTCTTAACAGAGTGCAGAAAGAGTTACAGCCCTTGTACAAAAATTCATTGAAATTTTTTGGTTTGTTCATGGTAATGCATTTCCTTTTCTTTCGTCAATTTTGCTCTATGAACTTATCCAGAAGTGGCAGCCCTTGTTTCATAACAGAGTTCAAAGAGAGTTACAGCCCTTGTACAAAAAGGTCATTGAAATTTTTTGGTGCATTTCCTTTTATTTCACCGATTTTGTATTACGGAATTTTCCAGATTGATATTTATCATTGTACTTTAACAATTTATTGTATTATTAATTCAACATGGACAGCCATATTGCACTTATCACAGTACATTCATAGACAGCTGCTAGCAGATTTCATTGCTCTATTGTCCTTTCTCGTTCTTTGCTCGACTACATGTATATCTGCAACACACACCTTGCTGTGATAATTTTTCAATCAAATTACAGACTGTCACCAAACATTATCTCGATCTATCTGATCAAATAAAATAATGATTTTCTTTCATTTATTCCCGCTCAATAAACTGGCAACCTGTTTGAGAGATAGGGATTTATATGTAGCTGGATTTTCAATACAAATTCAAAGTTTTCTGAACACGTACGATGCTCATGTTTTAAGATAAATGTTACAAAAGTACATCGGTTTATATAGAACTAGCATAATATGACTTGTATAAATATATTCTTATATACATGTTTATACTATTAATATTCATTATAATCATGAACTGACCAAAGCTTTATTTATCATACAATATTTTGACCTTTAAACATCAAGGTTATTCAAAAAGTACCAAATTAATAGGAGCTTGTTGCCTTTTTAAATCAATTAATTAGAATTAATCTGTCTACTATTAGAATGTAGTTTGAATGCTGAAAATGGCGGCATGGCTAAGTGGTTAATGAGTTGGACTAGTAATTTAAGGACCTCTAGCCATTTGGATTCATTCCCTGTCAAGGATGAGCCTTTGTTTCCATGAGCATGAAACTTTACAATCAATGCGGGTTCACTCACTCACGGTGGTTCCCGGAGGGACGAATTGGAGTGTGTCTTTCAGTGTATAGCTTCTTACGCAATAAAAGTAATATTAATTCTGTATATATATTGATGCGGAATTTATGAAAACAAAAAACTATGTTTTTTTTCCGCCAAAATAGACTGCCAATGGTTATCTGTTGGCAAGTCTTTGCAGACCTACCAGGTTCTGATATTATTAGGTGACCTTGAACTTGAATATTTAAGTCATGGTATGCCTAAAATTATTAAAATTCATCAATTTTAGAATGGTGGTGAAATGAATTTTGAAATATGCTGAAAAATATTGTTAAAGGAATGAACAGGTTTGAAATGTTATTAATAAAGTTTGTGAAATGATATATAATGGTGTATTTTCCACATGCTAGTGCCATACATCTCCTACGGATTAAGCCTATCATTTGCAGTTTATTGAACTCTGTAAAAACAAGGCACTCTGTCACCCCGGATCAATTGTGGTAAAAGAGTCTTTGAATGGAATAAACAAAGTTGTGTTCTGTATTCATATCCATTTTGCACATTTCTGAATCGTTATTGGCTTTCAATATGTGGTACTATTCTTCATATAAAATTATTTGATCCCAATGGTGTCTTATTTCCTAACATGTTAAACTAGCCTAGTGTCGGTGTCCATCAATGACATATGTATCTGTTGCCATAGCAACAAACTCTAGTAAATGGAGAGGATTTAGAGACGAAAATGAGGTTTGTCTCCAGTCAATTAGCCTGCTTTACATACAGTACGCTAGCGTACAGACTTGAATAACAAAGTGCCCGTAATGGTGAAAACAGTTTTTAGCAATGCATAAATCATTTGTTAATGCCAGGTTTCTTGTTCAATGAGGCAATTATTGGCTGCATATTAAAATATCATCATGTTTTGCCAGTCATTTGCATTTTCAAAAGAGGTACTGGTTTGTTTGTCCCAAGTTTTTCTAAATTATAGATGATTTATATAATACAAATCGTGAAAAATGCTAATTATTGACCGAGGGAATGATTTTGCCATATGATATATGATTTGATATATAACTCCTCCATTATTGTGATTAATTTGAATTTTCATAGGGACTGTTGACTAACTTTCATGTATTGTAAAAAGGCCGTCTGTAACTTTGGCGTCTACTTTAATAGGTAAGTTTAACTCAGGTGCCAGATAATAAACCAGGGGAGATAATGTTTCCAGTTGCCCTTGTCATTTTCTGTGTTCCTAGATGAAAAAGTCATAGTATCGCCTTACCATATAATATTTCTACAAATCAGAAAAATGTTTCAAAAATGAAACCATACATAAATCTGCATGATTCTTTATTATACTGATGCTTTTGTTCAAAATCATTTAAATCTAATGCTTTCAGCTACTAGGATAAACTCCTGTTATCCAACACAATCTTCCAGACTCGGCTTTATAAGTGGCTCAATTCAAGAATTTTGATGTATTATACCTCTGAAAAGAACTTAACTTTAAGTCTACTGTTAGGAACATTAATTGCACCTGAATGACCATTGAAGACCAAGATCAAATCACACATTCAGGCTCTGTTTGCTACTCAGTCAGTACTTATTTTAAAATTTACCTCAAAAACAATGAATGGTTTTGTCCAGATTAAAAGATTGGACAAGTCCTTTTCAGACATTTCGGTTAGTATGATTGAATTTAAAAAGAATTTAGACAAGACCATTATATAGTCAAGGTCATACTGAGTTTATCTGATCAGATTTTGGAACATTTGACTTGAGTTGTAATTCAAATGAAATTTGAAAGTGAAATTTGAAGCTGAAAAATCTCTGAAACATTTTTTTATTGATCCCATTTAGGTTAGTTTTAAATTTAAACCATCATTAAGTAATTCTTTTCTACGAAAAAGAATATTGACTTGAAGGCTTCTTAGAACTCACACAAGTTTTTCTTAGAAAAGAATGATATGCTGAAAAAATTTCACTTGACCTACTTAAGATGTTGCTTATGACTGAGTACAAGATCTGTCTTTTATCTGTGGCTTAGCGGTGAAGGTCATTTGCCCCTCTTCTTTTTGGGTTCGAATCGCGTCACATACTTTGAACTCTTTCATGTATTTTAGGAAGCTATCCAGCTAGCTCATGGAAGGGTTGGTGGTTTCTACTCACATACTGGCTTGTGCCTGAAATAATGCACAAAGTATTCTCCGCCGCCCATAAAGCAGCAAAGTTACCTTATATGACTTTACCAGTTAACAGGACTGTGATGGAGTTGGCAGTAAGCCACATTGAATTTACCAGAGCACAGTTCAGCTGCTGCACGTTCCTGGGCAGACTGTCAAGCAGATTACCAGTACTAGTTGCTATCACTTTTTCAAAGAACTGTAACTTCTGTTCACATGCCAGAGCAGAGCTACAGTGCAAATGACGTTAGAAAGGATTTTATGATCAGTTACAAAGAAAGTCTCAGACCTGCACCATCAGGGAATCGAACCTGGATCGCCCGATTCACAGTCCAACGCTCTACTTATTGGGTTAACTGGACAGTTATTACTTTAACAGTATTGGTTATGACTATAATACCCAAAACAGAATTTTAAAAGATATACCCATCTTTAATACGGATAGCACCGTCTTGTGACTGAGCATTAGTTTAGTCAATATAATTAGCTAATGTTTTGAAGTTCCATATATTTTTGTTTAATTTAGAATGCTTTGAAAAACACAAACTAGCTGACATCTCATTGAGGTATACATTATTCATTATATATGTCTATGAATCTATTGAAATGGATATGTAAATTTGTGAAGCATTGGGAGCGTCATAATGGAACTTAACTTAGATAAAAGAATATATAATCCATTCTGTTCTATGTATGATAAGCTCTTTTATTTTGTTTAATTTCAGGTCAATACGAGGTACAAAAGCAAGTGAACATACGGTAATAGTGGCAGTCACAAAGAGACAGTAAGTAAAATAATAAAAGTTAAGACTTTAGATAAATCAAAGTATTCGTCTTACGTGTAATATTTCTTCTCGTGAATTGTGATAACAATGTGAGTGAGTTTAACTCTTAGCCTGCTGGCAGTGGGAAACCGTGGTTCTATCCATGGAACCGGTGCAGACCGAGTCCAACCGACTGTTGTTTGTCTGCACTTGCCACATGGGTAGAACCAGTTGTCATCAGTAAGCTAAGAGTTTAGATTTCAGCTGCATGTCAGGGGAACGATGGCTTAATGGTAAAGATGTCTGCCTCTTAGCCAAGTGATCATGCGTTCGAGCCTTATTGGGAGCGGAGGACCATTTTCCTCATATGATACCAGGGGACTGGTTAAATCCTGGAATTTGACTGTAGAGTTGTTCAAATATGCTTCTAGTATAATTGTAATTTACATTACAATGGAGCTAAGATAAATGTTTGAAATAAACTACATTTTAAGATGCAAGATTTATTCCATGAGATAAATGTATTAACTTTACAAATGATCACTAACCACCACCGCCGCCTCTTTTAGAAAATGTTACACTTACACTCCTGGAGTTATGAGTACATTCAAGGGTGAAATCTTTAAAGATACAGTAGACCAAAAATAATACTTTATCATACAAAATGAGATGAAACCATTAAAGCTGTGACTGTTGAGGTCTAAAAAACCTGTTGTTTAAAGTTTGTTTGATGAAAAAAAAAGAATGAGAAAAAAAAAAAAAAGAATGAGAAAGCAACATGAATCAAACGGGGCCCATGCAATTGTTTCATTAATTATAGTGAAGTTAATGGAGTCGTTGTAATATAAAACTTTTCACTTGCTTTAGAACCAATCTCTTTTTTAAGTGTTTTTATTTTTCTTCCCAAGTTTCAAAAGCTCAATGTATTCCATTCTTATTTGATATTTATGTTGGGTGCATATAGATTTGCACTTGATTGTCTTTCCTATGGTCACTCTGTCATACTGTTCATTAAAAGACTAACAAATCAGTGGAATATCTCGGCACCCACAGTCATGTCCTATGGACATATTTCTAGTTTTCTATGTACATCTTTATTTTGAGATTATTAAGTTATTCATTTTCTTGTTTCGTGGAATTATATATATTTTTATCTTCCATGTCATTGAATATAAAGAAAATATTCAGATATTCAATATCTCATATAATATAACTATCCGCAACTAATAATACAATATCTTTTCTAATAAATGTTGTTTAGAAAGCCTACCAGCTTATGTATTCATTCTCCAGTCTTTTATAAGTGATTGAATCGCTAAATGTTATAGGTCAAAATCTTCTCTTTTTATGAGGCAGAGTCTATGTTAAGGATTTTCCAAAGAGAACTCCATAAATTAATGATAATAGATTTTTATAATTAACAACACATGTAATCTTCATTAAAATGAATGGGAGATCTTGAAATTATTCTTGAATCTCATGTAAGAATGTTGTATGTAGCATATTAAATTATTTTCAAGATGAAAATTAAATTTGAAGAAAACAAGTTATAATCAATAAGGTTAAGTAAAAGTACTGCATCCATTTTAAAGTAAGTATGAATGAATTAAGCCAAAGTATGAATAAATTAAGCCAAAGTATGAATGAATTAAGCCAAAGTATGAATAAATTAAGCCAAAGTATTAAAGAATTAAGCCAAAGTATGAGTAAATTAAGCCAAAGTACGGATAAATGAAGCCAAAGTGAAAGTGTGAATTAATAAAGCCAAAGTATGAATTTATTCAGACAACTTTTTTCACTATTAATATGAAAAATGACATGATCTTGAATTTGTTGTTTATTTTTTAACTGAGGTCTGCCCGCTTAGTTCTGTTAATGGTGAGAATCGGATTTGTGATCCAAGGATAGCTGGTACGATCCTCAGACGGGCACGGGGAAATTGTTCTCACATAGCATAGCATAAAAAACAGTCAAACAAACAAAATACTGCCAGAGATTTTATAGTATGATAATGATGAGTATTTTTGTATGGAAATTACTTATTACAGATTTCATGAATATTTCAAGTGAAGTACAAATGTGAAAATTGTTGTATTATAGAATTTGTAAATATAGGTCAAAAAGACGGCACTGAAATCTGCACATTCTTTTCTCTAAACTATTGGAAATGTTAATATTTTATGAAATTGTGTCCTGAAACCAGGTCGGCTGTTTTAATATAGTATAAAAGTACTCTTTAGAAAGTACTGCTAAAAATTAAAGTTATTTGTGGGAAGCGTCTTTTCGTGATTTTCATTGATAGACCATCCCAGTAAAATTTATTTTGTCTGCGGTATCATTATTCTGCATTGCACTATTTGTATTTTTCAGTTTTGCAAAACAGACAATACATGAATTTAAGACCCCACGAAATTGTCCTTTTTGACTAAACCACAAAAATTCATGCCCACGAAATTAAGTGAATTCATAGCATCCCAATTAATACGATCACATTGTACAGTGAGATCAAATAATCCTATAATTGTTATATTCATACATAAGATACAGTGCCATACTCGCCAGTCCGAGGCACAGGAAAGATGCATACATTTTTGGCAGGCCGGCGTCAGTGTCTTAGCGGTTAAGGTCATTGAATTTGAACCACGTGCCCCTCATCGCTGTGAGTTTAAATCCCCCACTATGGACTTTGGATTCATTCATCAGCAGCGAGGGAGCTCACTAGCTAGCTTAAGAAACGCAGGTGGTACTACTTAGGTGCCTGTTAGTGCCTGAATTAATGCATTGAGAGGCAACATTTTTCTGGTCCTCTAGGATAGTGTTTAAGATTTAATACTACTTAATTCGGTGCTAGGAGCATTGAGTGGGAGGGGGGGGGTGTTCCTGAGAGATGATGCACTTTTGCACTATCATTCAAAAGGATGCCTGTAATTATCATATAATTTTGTTTGTTTTCACTGCTTGCCAGGCATTTGCCCTTTTCCAAACTTTTTTTGTTTTCACAACTCTTCCAGTTCCCTGAACTTATTTGTAATTAGGTGGATTCTTTCTGCCTGTGAATTTTATGCAATACTGACTTGTTATCAACTTGTAACAATTGTGGAGGAAAATATTTTTTGTTACATAATAATTCACAATATATATGACTGATTATTAATGTACATACTACTGTATATTTATCACATGTCACGGGTATTATACAATCATTTAACATCTGGGGAATAGGTAAATTGTCCTCTTCGTTTGAAATTTGCCCTCGATTCCTTACAAGCTATAAGCATTATATGACATATTAAATTCATAAACAGAATATCATCGTGGAAATTTAATTAGATTTTTGTTATATGTACTCATCACGTCCTGTAATTGTGTCAAATGAAAACTTTCTGGAGACAAATAGTTTGCTATTCAGATCATGTTTTTAGTTTAGTTTAGTATAAATCTGATTTGGTCTCGAAATGTACAAAGGTCCGGTCATCAGGTTCATTATTTAGCTATATTTAAACATGGTTTGGTCGAAACATAAATACTTTGCTTTGTTTAGAATCATTTTAAGATAAGTAACTTAAGTCGAATTAACCGAGATTTTAGTATAATGTAATATGAATCTTGTCCCGAGAAATCCTCCTGAAAAACAACTGTAAATGACTTGTATGGCTTAGAAAAGTGAAAAGCAAATTAGATTTTCCTTATTTGAAGGAACTCCGATGAGGTGCTCAATGAGGGGTTCCAAAGAAACAAAAAAATTCTAGTCAGATTTGAGTAAAAAACTTTTAAGTGCTTTTCAGTGTTTTTCTTTTTTCACAATATGGAATGAATAATTATCTTGGAAAAGTGCAGTTTAATAAATGATCTGAAATTTGGCATTCCAGACTTGTATCAAAATTAATGGTACATAAATCTTGCAAAAAAATATTTCAAGTCACATCATGTAAAAAAAACCCATGTCAGTCGAGTCCCTTTAAAGTGACATTATTTCCATAAAGTTTGTATCTTTTTATTTTTCAGTTCTCAAACTGATAAAGATGAACCTTCAATATTGCCATTGCTAAAAGCTGGATTTAATCGAGTAAGTACTATATCTTTATTGTATGAAACACATTTTGTTCAATTTCTATGTAACTATTAAAGGACTACTTCTTCACCTCAGTCCAGTAATGGTTTAAGTCCTTGTAAATCTAATAGGAGTAAACCAGTTATTGCACCAGGGTGATGTATAGTCTTGTATGTAATCAAAATATCTTGTCCAGTGCCTTTAACCTTACCAGGCGCAGAAATTTATTATATCAAATATTGTTCCACTCAGATGTCACCCCAACCGCCACAAGGTACGCCAGGTATAGCTCCACAGTGACTAACATTCTGGTTATGAAACCCCACCGGAAGTCCTGAGTCCTGAACCAAGTACCTTGTACCCCAGGTTTTACGATATTCCCTATTTTAGTGCCTAAATAAATTATCTGAATTGATCAATCTGTTGGAAAAAATTTCTTTACTTTGCCAGTGTCATTGTGACTTAATAATGAAATATTCTTTAATTGGAATTATGAAGTTACTTGCCTAGTTTCTTTGTGATAATGTATGCATCTTTTGATCCAGTTATTTTATGTAAATCTTAAAATTATAATGTGCTATTTAAAATAATTACGTCTATAATTATGTACACATGTACATATTTTTTATTATGTACACATGTACATATTTTTTGTATAAATTAGTAATAGACAATTTTTTTATTATATAAAGTTTATTTTACGTGTCAAATATGGCGTTGATTAATGTAGACGTCCATTTGGTACGTTTACGTCATTTCCTTTGTTATAATTATATCAAAATTATTAACTGATGAAGCTTATTAAAGCTAAACATGTTTTGCTTAATTCAGTGTTCGTTTTTATCCTTTTATCTGAAGTTACTAGTACAGCTAGCTCTTTAACCCACTATTTACATATATCAAATATCAGTTAGTCCTTTTCTTGACAGAATTTAAAAGGAGAAGAAAAGAAAAAAAAATCAAAAGAAGCTGTGTATGGTAAATTTTTAATGCCAGAACTAAGAAATAAAAAGGGTTTGAAATATTTCTTTTGGAAAAATGTTATATTGAAGTTGTATTTTGGTGCGGAAAAAAATATGATACTGGAATAATAACGCGTATAATTTGTTTCAATATTTGAGTCAGCGTGACAGTCACCTTGAATGTATTTTACAGGCCAAAAACATAATAATATTTTCAAAAATACCGATTCTGCTGTAATAAATAGTCAAATTCTTTACTGCTACAATTATTTAAAGAAAAACAACAACAATAAAAAAAATACTAATTTATGGCACACAAGGACTTGCAATTAGTCGCTACCATTACAAGGTCTCCAGTATTCCTAGTTTTTTCGTTAATAATTAATTTGCTTCTCCTAGTTTTTAAAAATGCTTGTACATTTTCCTAGTTTTTTCCTAAATTGTTGCATATCTAATATTCCTTCTTTTTTTTCATCATACATAGCTGTTTTGGGATTAAAACTGTTGAAATAAAAAAAATTGTTGTTTGTTCTGCTGAAAAAATAATTAGAAATTCTTTTATTTCATGATGGATATGATCGAAAAAGCCATGTTTTAAATATAGGGCAATTATCGTCATTCTATATGATACGTTTTACTGGTACTGGTCATTCCAAAGATTTAATTCTATGGTACTTTAAGGTAATTTCAAGAATTTGGTTCTATAAGGAATAGATATTCAGATTATGATCTTTTGGTTATTCATTATGATCTATCGGGTACTCATAAATTATACTATGATCACATGACCTGTTTGCTTGTCTAGATCCCATATTAAGACGTTAGTTGAGTCATGTCACATTCAGAAAGGTCAACTGATCTTTTAATCTATAGCTCCACCCACAAGTGGTCACAATTCTGATCCAGATTTGCAAGGCAGAAAGTGAACTGTCACTGTCATTCTTAAAGTTCATATGTTGTTCATGATTGTACAGTTATGACATTTTGATTGGGCTTACATACTTAGGTATTTCTGTATGATGTAATTTTCGGTTTATTAAAAAAATGCACTTTGAGAGTTTTACGTAAGAAACACTGGAAAGCTATTATGGGTTAATAAGTTGTTACTCCTACTGAACGAAAAGAGAAATGTCTCTGTTTTTCCCCCCAAACCCACATTTAGTGATTGTGTAAAGTCCAGTTTATAATTGGTCGGTAATTTTATCCAGTTTCATGCATCCGTCATCTCAATGTCCCTCCACTTAATTTCTGACAATTTATCACCATTCATGATTACAGACTAGTTTGTTGATAGTTATTTTTAGCGAGCTTTGATAATTTTTATGACTCTTATTTCACAATTATCCTCCCAATTCAGCAAGTACGGCCCGCCCCCTCCTTCCACCAACTGTCGTATTGTCTTCTGCCACCATGCAATTATTTCTATTTCTTGAATCCATTGGCCTTTGGCAAAGTTTATTCATTTGTATTAGGAAGATAGTTTTTTTGCTTATTATTCTTGAAATCTATAAGCCTTGCTTTGAACTTCGTTATCCTATTAGTGAAGGGAAAATGTTGCAAAAACTGTCGAGAAAATTTGTATTCTCGGCAAGGATTGACATTAATCTGAAATACATCCCTCTAATCTGATTGGTCAATTACCAAGAATCTTTATAGGAAAATTTTGTCGCCAGGAATTTTCCGAAGATTGGACAATTATTTGCGTCAGAGTATTTATACATATACAGGGTGACTTGGACTTGCTGTTTTAAGATAGACAAGTAATTTACTATGCATATATATTGTATACAGAAAGCTCTGTAAAGACTTAGTGACAATTTTTCTCCAAGAGGGAAAAATAACAAAACAATTATGCCTTTTCAGGAACAATCAGTTACGATATTTATTGCGTATTAATGCTCACTAATTCAATTTTTCATGGTTTTGTCTGGAGAAATCATTTGGGAGAGAGTTATGAGACATTGTGTATTGCAGAAAGATGCAGTGTAATTTAATTTTCAACATTTCGAATATCCAGACCACGATTGATGCCCGGCTCAACATTCAATTTCATGTTGCATTTTGGGAAATATGATATGTAAATTGCATTTGGTTGGTTCTCAACATTTTAGAGGGGTGTGTTTTTTTTGCTTTGCAGCCTTTTCAGGGAAAATATAAGTCGGCCAATGTATTACTTATAAAATCAGAAACAAGCTTAATTATATGTGAATTGTTTACAGATTTAAACAGTTTAAGCCACAATTTTAAGATTATTTTAAATATTGTCAAAATAACTTGAACTGAACAACCATCTTGCATGTCAATTAAAAGCAAATGTCTTTACCACACAGTCATTGAAGGTAAACAAAATATAGCATGATGTATAATCATCAATTTTCCCTAGCTGTCTTAAACATTCATCGTAATACGGGGAGCACCAAATTTGTAATCCATGGGTACGTTGCTGGTTTGAATCTCAGGCCAAGCATTATTTTTCTATGACAATTGATTATGAATATTGACTCTTATAGTTATTATGTGTCTCAAGTCATATAAGACAAGAAGTCTCTCATTCTGGAAGAAATTGGCATTTACTGGTTAGTTATCCAGGAAAGGCAGTTAACTTGGTCGACTGACAAGAAATAGCTAAAAAATGTGTTCAAATCAACATAAAAACCAGACAAAAAAACAAAAGATTCAGTTTACAGTAATATAAACATATTATTATAGTTTTATTGTGGAGAAAGGATGAAACTTATTTGCAGTGCTCTCTAGATGGCTTCTCTGAATTAGCAAGGACTGGTGTTATATGAGCGTACATTGTTGTAACCCTTGAAATATGGCTCAAACCCATGAGACTGGCACCTTCACCACATAGCCACCACCAAGTAGCTATTTATATCAACAGTTAGGTCCTATAATTATATATGTCTACAAGGTCAAATTAAATAGGTCAAGGTCATCAATATTATTATTTAAAGTTTAAAAGATACAAAAGGCAATTGTAGATGTCCCAAAGACTTTTTCTTTTGATAAAAGATGACGGCAAATAAATACGTACAATGAGGTTTGTCAAGACCCTTGTCATGCTCAACACAACTTTGTAATATTGACTCTATAAATGTAAAGAATGGGATATCATAACTTGCAATGAATACTGGAAGTGTTGTCCTATAATCAATCAACAAGATTATGGAGATATCTGGGGCACAGTATCTATACCATTTCTCTGAAAATATCATCATTTCATCCGTAACTTTCCCACAATCCATTTCTTCCGCGGATTAATTTATCAATCAATCAGGAGGCAAAATAACAACGGTAGTTTTCATTAATTCTATACACAGCTTTTCTGAAAGAAGAAAATTGAATCGGTGGCGGGTATTAGATCCTGATGCGTAACTTGAATAACTTTTCCATAATGAATCGTAACTGATTGATAGGTCTTATTCTTGTGATGAGATTAAAGCCCCACCGTCAGATAATGGAATTAAAAGGTACAGTGTTATTGAAGTCCCGAGATCAATATACATGTACCTTATTCGTTCCATTATTCCTTTCACGGTAAAAGTCGAAAAAGGTTTTTCTTCTCTTTTCTGGGATAGGGATACGTAATCACATTTTACGTTTTTGGAACATCAACTCGTATTATCTTAATCGGATTGGGTAATTTATAAGTTAATCAGTGCATGAGATCTATTTTTAGACCATTTTTTTTGGTCGCTCCTAGATTTTATAATTTGGAGCCGATCCTGATTCAATGATTTCATGGCCAATGGGTTGTAAGAAAAAAGACATTCACAGAATAACCTTTTTAAACCTAGTATTACAAATTATAGACTTTACAGTTTCCATATCATTAAAGCTGTAAATTGCAGATGTATGTCATCGTCGGATACCCACGATTGATAAACATGTCACATAACATGCAATAAAATAATAAAATAAATGTTAATGGTTCGGCCGTGGGTATCCGACGATGACGTATGTTTACATAACTCAATACAAAGTTCATTTTGGACTATATTTATGAAAAACATTTGAATTAGCATTTGTAGTGTTTTGAACCCCAGTTGTCACTATGTTTTTGGGTTAAATATGTAGCTCCCCCTTTTTTTTTGGGGGGGGGGGGGTTTAGCAATTTGCATTTAATATATTTGTAGCACAGTTTCTTTCGTTTTTTTTATATTTTCTTTTCTTAAACAAATGATATACATGTATTCAGTAGGTTACACTGCCTTTGAGATACATTGACACTAATTTGCAGTATTTTGTCAGTCTCTGTAGCAGACGTCATTTATAAATATGCCCTTAGGTGACTTTCTGAAAGTTTTGTGGTACAAAAGACATTTTTCCTAGCCTTAGTCTTAGACATGTGAATTAATGTCTAAAAATGTAATTGAAGACAATGACTAAAATAGTGGGAAAGTAAAAGAATAGAATGGAAGTTTTACTCGAAAACTGATGCAAAGAATAGTATTGAAGGAAAAGGAATTTTTATGAAACTCAAGAAATTAAATGAAACTCAAGAGTGATAATGGAAGACAATTATTTTCTTTGTTCACTTAACAATATTTTACTTATCAATACATTTTTTAAATTTCCATGTAAATTAGCATGAATCTGAAGACATGCTGTTTTAACTTAGAAAATAAGCCTAGACTTATATTACAGAATTAGAATAATAAAGTTATCAATTCAGCTAAAATTCCAAAGTAATGACAACTTTATTTATGTATTGTTTAAATCTAAATCCTCTTGTTCATGAAGTGGTATGCAATTTCTCTGTGATTATTCAGTGTAGCATGTCAATCAAAAGCAGATTGGGTCTAAGGGGGTGGGTGGGGGGGTGTTGTTCATTTGGCTTGGAATGGTAAAGCTGTCTTTTATAATAATACTTCTCAACAAATCAGACAAAGTTAAACTGAAGATTCCTACAAGTGTATTGCTTTAGAATTAGCTTTAAAATGTGTTTTTTTTTACAATATTTTATTACTTATCACCTTAATTATAATGATTATAATTAGAAATTAATAATTGATTTATCTGATATGGAATCCTAAATCTGCTTTATATAATGATCAATGTGTCCAGTGCTATGTATAAATTTAACATTAAGTGCAATTAATGTAATTATCATAATTATACAGTTAAACTGAAATCGCTCGAATACCTCCCTTCGCTCGAACTCATCGCCCAGTCCCGGCAAAATTCCTACATAATATATACTGTTCTAAAGTAACCTCGGACCAGGCATAGTTTAATTTAGAACTGCAAAATGTCTTGAGATGTTAGGCAACAAATAATTGTAACAGATAATAAAATCAGCTGATTTTTTTGCATTGCTAACATTTAGAGTTGATTCCAATGCAATATTTATTGTTATTAAATACCTTCTGAATATTTCATCAAGAAATTTACACAAATAATATCGGATCAGTCTGCATATATTTATACTGGTAGGTTAAATTTATTACATTCTAGATTTTGTTTATAAATGATCGTCTTTGATTGTTGCAATTAACGTTCATTAGAACTTGACTGCCTCAGGGTCTATTATTTTTAATGATCGAGATATTTTTATCTTAAAGAGTACATTTAGTACATGTATCAATCGTTAATCAAATTAATCAATCAGCCATGTTTATTAGAGAAAGTAATTCCTGACAAATTACATAAAAACATACTTTTAGGCGAAATGTTTTTTTACATTAATGGCAGGATTTAGCTAAATTTATTAAGAACGGATATTAACTTTTAAGCAATTACCCAGGAATCCCTGCAAGTGTTGATCGACAAATAGAATCAGCTTTTGATGGGGGGATTCAGTTCTTCCCCGCGAAAAAATCCATTATTTCATCAGGGAGTCTTCAGAAGACAATTTGACATGTAAATTTGATGGACAGAGTGAGAACGCTGACAAATTTACGTCTCGTGACATTTACGTCTTATTGAATGGTCTTCTTTTGCGCCTCGTTTTTTATATCTCCAGACATGACTTGGTTAGGCTTGATTCATTTATTTCCGGAAAATGACTTGCCATGTTCAATCAATAATTCTTCTCTCCCCCCCCCCCATCCTAGTTATTTTCGTGAATTTTAAGAAACAAAATTTCAAAATAGGTGATTTGAAAGTGCATGTTATGGTGGGCAGATAACTATTGATATCATGAAGGAGAAGAGTAGATTTAATAACGTCTAACGATATTAGATAGAATCAAAATTGCAAATTTGATTCCGCAATTTGTACGATTTTAGTGTACATTTATTTCAATTATTGTGGAAAGACTTCAGAATTTTCCAATTTAGTTTGTTTCATTGCACAGAAGAACATGCTGAATAGATGTTTAATATTTGTATGTGCCCATTTCATTAGAAGAGAGGCAATTTCTTGTCTAGTGAATGTGCCCTTCACCTTTGAATGATAAAATCCTGCGTTGAAATTTGGATTTTTTAATGTTAGCAGTCTTGGCTTAGAAAAGTTCTACCCATGTGTTTATCTATGTGTTTACCCATGTATTTATCTATGTATTTATCTCTGTGTTTACCTATGTGCTTATCTATGTGATTATTTGGTTAAATTCACCACTATATTCATTTGTAAATATCCTGACGATCTGTTGAGTATTATATATAACTGCTATATTCAGATGAATATTTTATTATATTGGTTACTTGTTCTGCTATATTCAATTGATTGTCCTGCTATATTCAATGGCTGATTATTCTGCTTTATTCACTTGATTGTTCTGCTATATTTGGTAGAATACTGCTATATTCAGTTGAATGTTCTGCTATATTTTGTTGATTGTTCTGCTATATTTGGTTAATTGTTCTGCTATATTTGGTTGAATGTTCTGCTATATTCAGTTGAATGTTCTGCTATATTCAGTTGAATGTTCTGCTATATTTGGTTAATTGTTCTGCTATATTTGGTTGAATATTGCTATATTTGGTTGATTGTTCTGCTATATGTTTGTTGAGTATTACTGCTATATTCGGTTGAATGTTCTGCTAACGTTTGCTATATTTGGTTTAATATTCTGCTACATTGTATACTTGGTTGATTGTTCTGCTATATTCGTATACTTATATTTTAGATTGACTGTTTTGCTATATTCCGTTGAATATTCTGCATATACTTACATGCAAATTACTATGATACGCTGTCAGAGTATTATATTATAGAGAAGCATCTTACTCGATTACATTTTGTTTTTTAGAAGAAATATATATGCGAATGCATTAACCTACATATCAGGTACACAGCTGTGTTAATATTGCATTTACAGTCATATAGAATGGCGATAACAAGTGAGATATAGCCATTCATTCACAGTGTCGCTTACACAAAAGACTGAATGTTTATGTCGTTGCAATGAATTAATGCATACATTGCGTTATTGTTTAACCGTCTGCGTATTTGTCTGTTGCCTATATACAATTGCTATAACCACAGCAGTCTCAAGCATTATAGCCATTATGTACTTGAAAAAAAAAAAACAACAACAAAAAACATGTTACCATAGGTTTGGTTTGGACAATTTTTATTCTACGGATTCTGTTGAACCTTCCGTCACGAAGGTCAGAACATGGTTATTCTATCCCAATACAGTACCACCTGTTTGTTTAAAGTGGAAATTATTTTTTCTACTTGTTTGTTGGCCCAGGAAGGTCGTAACATGATCATTCTGTTAGGGTTTCAGCCGTCATACCTACCTCAACATATATTTAGCCTAGATATCCATTGAATATTAATGATACTCTCGGTGTCGGACTCTTGTAAAGGTTTCCAGATCAAAGCAAAATGGCTGCTTGCGGCACTTTAAATGTGGTGTCACTTAACATTTTGGTCACACTGTAAGTGAAGATTCATTTTGAAAGAAAAATGAAAATTGCAGACTCATTTTGATCCAGTTTTTCTTTTAGTCCTCATGACTGTACTGGTTTTAAGAATGTTATCAAATAGAACAAATATCTAACTGTAAAAGTAGATCAAATTTGAATTACAATTATACCCCCAAGTTTTATGATTGAATCATAAATAAGCTAGAGTTTATGGTTGTATAGATTTTAATGGAATGCAGTTTTATTAGGATACTACATCTATCATAAACTTGTAGTTATATATATAATATATATACAATATTTGATTGTGATTTATGGGAAATTTCAGTGAAAAACGGAAATCTTGTGAAATCATCAAAATAACAGAGGAGCTAGCTGGAATACTTTGTGTTAGATTTTATTGATTTTATATTGAGTTTATATTGTTGATAGTTGCTGCAATTATTGGTTGGTCACTCGTACATTTAAAATGAGTGCGCATGCACTTAATTAGATCAAATCTATTGCTGGGGTATTTGGGGCATTAAAAAAATCTGATAAAACTTCGAAATTCATTAAAATTTCAGAAGATGTGTGCCAACTATCAAAATGTTTTATCAACTCATTTGAAACGTGTCATTAATTTTTGTAAAACAGAAAAAATTGATATAGTATTATAATTGAAATATTTATCTCTCTTTTCAGAGATTCGTGGAAAACTCGAATGTTGGAGCGTGTATAAATGAGCTTCTTCAGCTAGAGCATGGGGAAATTATATCTCACCAAAAGTTACGCACGTGCAATGCATTATTTAGTGCTTTAGACAGCGTTTCTGACTCTGTCGAAATCACAAACGATGAACATGAAATTCAGGTAAGTATTAAATGTAAAAATATTAAAATCTCGTTTATTAGAGATTGTAAAATTTCGGCTGTATAACGATGAGATAGCATTTTTGTTATATGTTGATTTGTTTGTTTGTGTAAGGTATGGGTTTTTGAATGATTGCACAAGTTTGTAGAAGAATCTTTGCCATCTGCAATCTCAAATTAAAACTCTTAAGCCATCAGTGGTTTGTGTGTTTGGTTTCTTTACCCTCGCCATCAGAATAAATCGTATGGGTGGGCAAGCCATTGGTGGGGGAGGATGGCATTTTAAAGAATTGTCCTTAGCCAAAATTGCCATTGGAAAATTGGTCATATCCAGCTTTATAACTAGCTAAGTCATGATCTGGTTGCTCACACATGTTTAAAATGGGTCAGCATGCACTTAATTACATCAATGAATGAACCATATGGGCGAGCAAGCCATTGGTGGGGGAAGAATGACAGTTTAGAGATTTGTCCTTAGCCAAATTTGTCATTGGAAATTTTGACAAATCGAGCACTATATATGTTATATAAATTCAGCAGGTTAAGGCTTTTTAGTTTGTAAATATAATATAAAGTGTTGTACATTTAATTTTTAGATGATAACACATGGTGTAGTATGAAAAAAGATTTTTTTGTCACAAGAGCATGTCAATTTTGTTTTTACACATGTATGATTAATATAATTATGAAGTAAATGATGATATTATGCGTTATGTTGTTTGTTATTTTTCACAGTATGTGAATCCGGCATATGAACGATTGACTGGATATTCAATGGAAGAGGTTGTGGGAAAAGATTCACGGGAACTAAAAGGGGAGCGAGTAAAACCAGACGTACAAGACGGTGTTAATAATCAGATTAAAAAAGGAAAAGTAAGTAGCCCGTAGCCTTCGGGCGATAACAGATTCTACAAAAACAACCAGTGCAGAGCAAGATCGGACAACACAGAATGATGTCCCAGCGGATCATCGTCTGCACTGTTCACTCTCCAGTCAGTACATCTCCCCTAAAATTATTGAATGGTTTTGTCTAGATTGAAATATGGACAAGATCATTAAAAAAACAATGGTTAGCTTGAACTTTCAACATGAGAGGTTGTTTATGACGTAATGTACTGTTACTGTCGATCAGGAAGTTCTTTCTATTGCCGTGACATAATATTGCGATAAAATCTTGCGTGTCATTAGCCGTGAATTTAAAGGCCCAACATTGTGGTATTGATTTTAAAAATGAGCCGTGTCACGACAAAACCAACATAGTGCGTGTGCGACCAGCATGGATCCAGACCAGCCTTCGCATCCGCGCAGTCTGATCAGGATCCATGCTGTTCGCTATCAGTTTCAGTACTTGTAATAGAGTTGGTAAGCGAACAGCATGGATCCTGATCAGACTGCGCGGATGCGCAGGCTGGTCTGGATCCATGCTGGTTGCAAACCCATTATGTTGGTTTTGTCATGACACGGTTCAAATGTTTTTTCTCTTACATAATATCATTTTAAAACAAATATTGACAGACTATTGACAGATTATTTCAAAAGGAGGTTAATTATTCAAGATTGTCGGCTATATACTTTCCCCATCCATTGGTTAGTTAACGCACTATACTCGCTCATGAAGACTGATAAAATCTTGTTTGAAATGTTACAATTTGCTTGTATAATTCTTGCGAGTATTTTTTCTGTCTTTGAAATTTACAAAATTTACATTAAAATGGAAATTTTCCTGTTAATTAGTAAATGACATTTAAAATTTCTGATAACACTGTTGTTAGAATGAGCTATTTCCTGTTTGGAATAATATTTGAGTAATGCCAGTAGAAGAAATGACTGGAGTTCAGGTTTGTTGTCTAGCATCAAAACATTGGAAATAAGATAATTTTATAAAAATTATATAAATTGTCGTCAGTGTAGAAGAGAATATTGACTAACACATTTATATGACTTGGTATATTTTATGAAAAGTTTTAGATGTGATCCCCCCTCAAGTTCAAGGTGTTGCATCATGTATTAATCACTTTTGAGTCCGCTTCCTGGAACCAACCAGTACTGGTGTCATATGAAGAAACATAGTGGTGACCAGAGTAGGGCTCGAAGCCATGATCTCTGGGTTTAGAGGCAGACAACTTAACCACTAGGCCACCGCTCCCCTTTTATCCTTAATCTAATGGAACGAATATTGATCATAGTCTTTGTCACCTGTATAGAGCCAGGCCAGCCTGCAAATCTCTTGATATTTTCTATTGAAATTAAAAAAAAGGAAAAACTGTTTGTATCTTTTTAGAGATTTTTTAAAATCATTTTTTGTTTGCTTTTAGGAGGAAAAGTAAAAAAGTTGATTGTTGCCCCTGCCTGGCTGTGGCTCTTGTTGAACGTAAGAATAGGATAAAAAAATTGCATTATAAATGTATATAGGTATTATGTTATATAGTGCAACCTTTGCAGAGCAGGCCCCTCTGTAAAGCAATAACCTCAATACAACATCATTATAATTTCTGTCCAAAGTAAGTCATAGCAATAAATTAAACCTCTCTTAAGCAGCACCTCTCTTTAACAACCAAAATCTTTGTCTATCACAGGGTGTAGCTCTGCAAAGGTTGTACTGTATATCATGATTGTCCAATGGAAACGTACGTTACAAACACGCGATACTATAAAAAACACGTAATGTTGATCTTGCTTTTCTTTCAGAAGTGGGAAGGGACGTATTATACAAGAAGGAAAAGTGGGGATGCGTTTCCACAGCATTGTAAAATTTGTCCAGTTGTCGCAGCAGGCGGGTAAGATATTTATTTTTGAGAAGAAATTTGATAATTCCGGTTCAAAGCAGCATAGTAATACTCAACAGGCTAAGCTGTTTAAATATAGCGTAGAAATCTTAATAAAAAAACTTTCAGTCATGTTGTTTTATTCTTATGGTCATACCTGCAGTGAGTTTTAGCAAAAAAAATGTTTCTTTTATTTCTTATGCATATGTATAATTAAAAAAAAACAAAAAACAAACTGAAAAGAGCTTTGGTCATCAATATGTTTAGAAGGACATATTGATACCTTCTAAAATAGTCTTAGCAAAGATTTTGCAAAGAATGTTTTTGTGTTGTTTTAGAAAAAACAATTTGTTAATTATGTCAGTTAATATTATTTTACTTCCTTACTTTCTGCATGTTTAATTTATGTCAGTTTATATTCTATGTTGTATCAGAAAAGTAATTCTATAATTATGCCAAATGATATTATTTTACTTCCTTAACTTATTACATATACATTGCACTTTATGTCACTTATCACAAAACCAACTTATGTCAGTTAATATTGTTTTTTACTTTCTTAATTTGTTTATGTTTACTTAATGTCATTGACCATTTATGTCATTTAAAAAACCTTACTTTTTTATTTCAGTTAATATTTCATGTGGTTTCAGAAAATCAACACATTATGTCAGTTAATATTTTATGTCTTTTCAAAAAAATCAACACATTATGTCAGTTAATATTTTATATCTTTTCAAAAATCAACACATTTTGTCAGTTAATATTTTATGTCTTTTTAAAAAATCAAGACATTATGTCAGTTAATATTTTATGCCTTTGTAGAAAACCAACTCATTATGTCAGTTAATATTTTATGTCTTTTCAGAAAACCAACTCATTATGTCAGTGTACGCAGCTCTCATTTAGATACCTCACACTTCTATGATAAATTGAAGGATGCTGACTACTTTACTCAAATCGCAAATGGTATTTATATAATTATTGTCTTCAACTCTGAAAAATATAAAATAGCAAATGGTATTTAATAGCAAATGGTGTTTATATAATAATTATTGTCTTCAACTCTGAAAAATATAAAATAGCAAATGGTATTTATATAATAATTATTGTCTTCAACTCTGAAAAATATAAAATAGCAAATGGTGTTTATATAATAATTATTGTCTTCAACTCTGAAAAATATAAAATAGCAAATGGTGTTTATATAATAATTATTGTCTTCAACTCTGAAAAATATAAAATAGCAAATGGTGTTTATATAATAATTATTGTCTTCAACTCTGAAAAATATAAAATAGCAAATGGTATTTATATAATAATTATTGTCTTCAACTCTGAAAAATATAAAATCGCAAATGGTATTTATATAAAAATTAGTCTTCAACTCTGAAAAATATCAAATCGCAAATGGTATTTATATTATAATTATTGTCTTCAACTCTAAAAAATATAAAATCACAAATGGTATTTATATGATTATTATCAAAAAAGATTTGAAAAATATTTGTCAAAAGGGTAAAGCTAATAAAAGGTATTTTTCTAGTTAGATGATATTGGTATTAGATTTTTAAAAAAAAAAAATTGTAAATGGCAGTTTGTAGGATTTAAAAATAAATTGCGTTACATTTTGTACGAGGGTTGTTCAAAAAGTAATAGGACTAAGAGTCTTGCATCTTCATAATCAATTCAATTTAGAATATTTTTATATGTACAGCGATCGAAAAATGTTTTCTTCAATTTAAACATAAAAATATTGAATTCTTATGCTTAACGTGTGTTCCCTGTGTTAATGAATAACCATGGTAACACGCACCCGGCGCAGCACATAAAAAGGTTATTGAAGCTTAGTTAAACTTCTATTTTATTATAATTTATTTTCTTTTTTTCCCCCATTTATTCTACCAACACAATTTATTATATTTAAGTAACATTATGCCCAAAGTTGACGTCATTCAGACATGAAAAGGCTAAATCATCAAGTTTTGAACAGCAGTGGTTATAACGTTAACTGTAGAAATTTGACGTTCGTTAAAAAACTGAAAATGTGTGCGATCGTTAAACTTTACCAACAAATTGGCGATACTCCTTCAGATACATATGAAAACAAAAAATTAACACAGTACAATTAATCGGCTATCAGGATACTCGTTCTCAGCTTGCGCAAACAACTCAAAAACTGCTCAAAAACTGCACATACGAAATCTCAAACAGGAAAGGATAAGAATGATAGCGGGAAATTGACGGGACGTTAGTAACGTCAAATGAAAAAGCGCTACAAAATGATACACGGTAAACAGCCCAGGAACTGTCCGGCATGTTTTATTTCTGCATTGGGTCTATTGATTCAGTTCTGCCTAAATGATTTGTTTCAAACAAAATTCTATTTCATTTAACTAGATATATGTGTTATCAATCAATTAATGTTATAATGATTAACGATAATTATTGATATTTTCCCCGATTTTCTTTTAAAAATGATATGCTGTTCTTGGTAGAAAAATATACTTTTCAGTTGAAAACTATTGCTATTTTACTTACATAATTATATTGTTTTAAGAATATACGATGATATGCCTAAAATAATTCTATTAATCGCTTTTTCATTATCATCATAAGTTCATGCCTGTTTAATCTATATTGATTACTATAAGATACAAGAATACGAGAAAAAGCGGAGAGTGGCCGGCTATCGGGCTTTTTTTCTCTCGGAGAGTGGAACAAGAATGTGGTCGTTTTCTTTCTCGCTTCATCTCCACACATGAGGCCTGGTCAAAGTTACATGATTTAGACACATAGAACACTAAGGAGATTTCTTTCAGAAGGGATGACGCTTGATACATTTTGTTTTTATTTTACGACGTCATTGACGTCATCTATTGTACTGTTAGCGTGCGCCGGGTCGCATACCCCTTGTCATTTGAAATTTTCACAGACTCGTTATTTTTATCCCCCGCCGAAAAATTTCGGCGGAGGATATAGAAATAGTCTCCGTCCGTCCGACCTTCCGTCCTTCCGTCCGTCCGTCCTTCCGTCCGACATTTTTGTCCGGAGCATATCTCTAAAAGTATTTGAGTTATCAACTTGAAACTTCATAGGTGGATAGACCTCATTGAGGAGGAGTGCAGTGCACAAGAATGATAACTCTACCTTGCATGATTTTTGAGTTATTACCCTTTGTTATTTGTCAAAATTGATTTTTGTCCAGAGCATAACTCCAAAAGCCTATGAGATATTAACATGAAACTTCATAGGTGCATAGATCTCACTCAGGAGGTGTGCAGTGCACAAGAATGATAACTCTACCTTTCATAATTTTTGAGTTATTGCCCTTTGTTATTTTTCATACCTAATTTTTCACCTGAGTGGAGCATAACTCAAAAAGTGTTTGAGATATCAACACGAAATGTCATAGGTGGATAGATCTTATTCAGGAGGAATGTTTTGCGCAAGAATGATAACTCTTCCCTATACAATTTTTGAGTTATTGCCCTTTTTTTTTTTTTTTTCATGCTATTTTGTCCAGAGCTTATCTCAAAAAGTATTTTAGCTATCCACCTGAAACTTCAAAGGTGGATGGATCTCATTGAGGAGGAGTGCAGTGCTTAAGAATGATAACTCTACCCTGCATTATTTTTGAGTTATTGCCCTTTGTTATTTTTCAAAATTAATTTTTGTCCAGAGCATAACTCAAAAAGCCTTTGAGATATCAAAATGAAACTTCATAGGTGCATTGATCTCACACAGGATGTGTGCACTGCACAAGAATGATAACTCTACCTTTTATAATTTTTGAGTTATTGCCCTTTGTTCTTTTTCATACTTAATTTTTCAATTCAATTTTTTTCTCAAAAAGTATTTGAGGTATCAACTTGAAACTTCATAGGTGGATAGATTTTACTGAGGAGGGATGCAGCACACAAGAATGATAACCTACCCTGCATTATTTTTCAGAAATTGCTCTTTGTTATTTTCAGCCATCAGTATTCACATAGGTTTCTAATCTGTAATCACTATAGCCATCAGTTTTCATTACCAAAAGACCTCTTAAAATGGAATTATTCCGCTCTACTACATATACATTCTTCCAATGAGCAAACACATTCGGCGGGGGATGGCCATGTTGACATGGCTCTTGTTAAACATATTTTATTGATTTTTTCACTGTATAAGAGGATATGTTCCGATATTATTATCTTGCGAAATTGTGCACGTAAATTAAAAAATGTGAATAGTAGAACTGTAGTCCTATTACTTTTTGAACAACCCTCGTACATGTACTGGAAGTGTGTAACAGTTATATATGAGTTTCAATGAAAAAAAAAAAAAAAAAAAAAAATTCCCCTATGTGCAGACGGACCATGCTTGATACATGTATTTTTGGTGTCTCTCAATTTTTATAATTTGAAAGTAAAATATCTGAAAGTTAGAGTGTTATACCCAAAATTCAAAACTGTAAATATTTGTTTGTACCTCGGGAATTGGGTAGAAAAAAACAACAACACAATTTGCCAAGTTCCGAATTATCTCTTTTTACCATACACAGACATTAAAAAGCAAATCTGGACAAAAATCATCTCACAGTCTGTAAAGTGTACATGTATTGCTACAGAATAACTACCTGTATTGTTAATTTTTTATTGGGTGAGGAAACATTACCTGAGTAGCCATTTTATTGACCTTTTTTGTATATATAGTACAATAAACTGATAATTTGTGTCACGAATATTATATATGTATATATTATTATTTCAAAACAATGTGCTAACATTTGAAAGCATTAATATTATAAATGATAGTAACTATTTAATGCATATTAACATTTACTGGTAATATAGCCATGTGGAAAGGAGAGAGCTTTTATTGCAGAATTTAGAGCAATATTATATTAAGTCATTAATTATGGATTGTGTTTTTGTTTTTTTTGTGAATGAATAATCTCAGGGACATAGCAAATAATAAAGTGACTTGCATTGTGGAATTTTTCAAAAAAATAACAACAAAAAAAAACAAAACAAAAACAAAGAAGTCTGTGTAAAACATTGAATAAAAAATCATAGATATTTGTAAACTATTTTTAACACTTAAAAATGGACAATATTTGGATGTTTAAACATGGTGAGTAATAAACAATTTTATGAAAATAAAATCAATATTGCTATACTACTAGCTCTGGGCTGGCTTTGTGCTAAACAGTTGTAATTCTTTCTGTATGTCATATGAGTTACAATTGTTTTGCATGAAACACACAAATTACATTCAGAAATTGTAATATTACATAGCGTATTATTCGTAATTACAAATTGACTATGCAATATCATTTTCAAAATTCTGCAATTATGGGAATATGTGGCCAATATGTGTTTCCACCTATCAGAATTCAGAATTATGTCATCTTAGCCTTTAATAGTAGAGATGAGATTTTGACATGTATATTTGAAAATGCTGTGAATATTTGCACTTTTACTCTATGTAATCATAGCCCCCTCACCAACCATCAGGAGTCGTGTTTTACTAGTAATCTAATGATTGCTTCCTGCATTGGTTCAAACCATGTCTGTGGCGCGTCATTGTTTCCTTGAGGAAGAAACTTTACACTCATTGTTCAGTAATGGTTGGTTCCAGGTACGGATTTGAAAGTGTGTCAATAAGCTTATAGCTTCCTACACAATCAAACTAAAATAAATTCTATATAAACCAACCCTTTGGACAGAGTGGGGAATATAATTGTGCCAATTAAGTATTTTCTTTCTGTCTGTCCCACTGTGTCTATACCTTGGTTACATTTAGCATCAAGATGAAAGAAAAAGAGGCAGTGTTAAGGCATTAAGCAGAGATTTTAGCATTTGAGTCGCATCACGACAAAACCAACATAGTGGATTTGCGACCAGCATGGATGCAGACCAGCCTGCGCATCCGCCCAGTCTGATCAGGATCCATGCTGTTCGCTTACAAACTCTATTACAAGTGGAGAAACTGACAGCGAACAGCATGGATCCTGATCAGACTGCGTGGATGCTCGAGCTGGTCTGGATCCATGCTGGTCGCAAACCCATTATGTTGGTTTTGTCATGACGCGGCTCATTTGACTTTCTCAGCAGGGCTGATGGTCATGATAACAATCAACATGTCATTATATTAGTCACTGTTAAGTCTGCTTCCTTGATCTTACCAGGACTAGTATAAAGAAACAATGTCATGACCTTAGTAGAAAGTAGTGCCACGAATATTTGCACTAATTTTGTCTTAGCAGACTGTCACAATCCTACAAACTGTCAATATATGGACAACTTATTTTTCAGCATTAAAAACAAAATTAAAACAAAAAGGAGTAAAAAGTGTTTATGTTTTTCAGGTGGAATCCATGGTATACCACGGAGACGTGAATCCTTCGCTCGAATACACTCTATGACTATAGAAGCACCAATTACCAAGGCAAGATACAGCAATCCACTTTGTTTACAAAACAATGATATATTTTTTTTAAGTTGAAGTTTTCATGCCATGATATTGATAAATAAGCTTGATGCTTTTTGTCCTGTTTGACCTTTCTTGTCTGTGGACTACTTTAACTGTTACCAATTAGGTCACATAATGACCAAACAGGTTACAGGGTAACCAAATCAGGCCATATAATTACCCATCAAGTCACATGGTTATCATATCATGTCACATAACAACCATATAAGGTGTCACAATTATTATATGTAACAGTCATATAATTTCCGAATAAGGTCACATAATTACAATATCAGATCATTTAATTACTAAATCAGGTTCCAGATCAGGTCACATGATTATTATATCAGGTCACATTATAAAAAAATAAGGTCACATAATAACCAAATAAGATCACATAATAACCAAATAAGGTCACATAATAACCAAATAAGATCACATAATAACCAAATAAGGTCACATAATAACCAAATAAGGTCACATAATTACCAAATAAGGTCACATAATTACCAAATAAGGTCACACAATTACCAAATAAGGTCAAGTAATTACCAAATAAGGTCACATAATTACCATGTCCGATCACATGGTTACTAAATCAGGTCACATTATTACCAAATAAGGTCATGTGATTACTAAATCAGGTAACGTAATTACCTAAAAAGGTCACATAATTACCAAATAAGGTCACATAATTACCAAAACTGATCACATGATTACCAACAAGGTCACATAATTACCAAATAGGGTCGCATAATTACCATGTCCGATCTTATGATTACTAAATTGGGTCACATCATTACAAAATCATGTCACATAATTTCCAAATCGGATCACATAATTACCAGATTGGGCCATATGATTACCAATCAGAAATCAGGAGCACATGGAAATGAAACTGACCATGATACAGTCTGGAAAATCTATATATTATTGATGAAGTGATGTTATTTAATGTTGTGATAAATGTATCTCCAATTATTATCACATTGTTGAAAACCATTCTCACTTCGTAACAAAAATTGACCAGTGATCTTTTACCTGTTTTCTATCAATAAATGTTTTGTTGTTTTGTACCTGTTTTCAAGGTCGTTTTTGATTGTTTTTTGTTTATATAAGACTATAATTTGACCCTATGTTAAGACTAGCTTAGGAAGAAAAAAAAAACAACTTTTGTCTGAACTTTTATTATCTTGTTTTAGATTAGTTGAACTTATGAATCTTTTTACCATTTTAAATACACTCACTAGACATTATGAACAGTGTACTCTGACTAGCTAGAACATAGTATACTTAACCATGATTCATAGCTGTTTTAGGGGTTAGCAATTTCAGACTTTTGGAGGATGTTGAAGATTCAGTAGGGAGTTTTCAACACATATTTCAAACTGTGAAAAAGCCAGTTATTGGACTCTTTTTATGCAAAAAAAATCATGGGCAAAAAAAGAAATAATGTAAATAATTATTGGTGTACATTCAGGTAAATTTTTATATATATTTTGGTAAATATTCAAATCATGCCGTTTGGACATTTTTCAGGCAGTTTATTCCAGTTCTAGCTAGTTAGACACCTATGTATATCTGCATAATATAACTAATACTTTATTTTGTACTAACCATAAAAATTTCTTATTCCCAACTGCTTCCATTGTAGGTTATAAACATTATAAATACGGCACAAGAAAATAGTCCTTTAACAGTAGCTCAGGCCTTAGATAAAGTTTTAGAGATATTACGTACCAGTGAGCTTTATTCACCATATTTTGCCCAAGAATTGAAAGATGGGGACCCCATGACGAGCGATTATCTTGGTGGATTAGTTTCAGTAAGACATGCATGTTTTGTTACTATAAATAACTTATTTTATTGCTATAAATAACTGATATGCATGTTTTGTTACTATAAATAACCGATATGCTGATTTGTTACTATATATAAATATCTGGCTGCATCTATATTGTAATTAACCTGTTGAGAAATGAACTGGTCCTACTTTGAATATGGAGCAACCCATTAATTTAAAAAATTTCAGTATCAAAATGCTTATAAAAATTGAGTGGCCATTGATTTAATATTTCAAAATTCATACGATTTAGAACAGAGTTGATTCCCTTACTGAAAGTGAAAATTGCATTTTCAATGTTACAAAATTCATCCAATTTAGTACAGTTACCTCCCTTTATAAAGTAAAAGTTGCATTTTCAATGTTTAGGAAATTCATACTTGCAACCTGAGGAATAGGACTGGCCAAATTTTGAAATATTGAAAAGATTGAAAAGTTTAATATAATAATTTTTTATCTGGGAAAATTCATGTAACAGTATTTTGGTAAAATTGCTTAATTATTCAAGGTATAGTGTTTGAAATAGAAGAACTGTAAACAATATTTGAGCCGCGTCATGACAAAATCAACATAATGGGTTTGCGACCAGCATGGATCCAGACCAGCCTGGGCATCCGCGCAGTCTAGTCAGGACCCATGCTGTTCGCTTACAAACCCTATTACAAGTAGAGAAACTGATAGCGAACAGTATGGATCCTGATCAGGCTGCGCAGATGTCATTCATATGATAACATGACATAATATAAACACCTTTAGAGACTTTGGTATATAATTAACATCTTTACCCCTAAACCTTCTTATTACATAGATTTATATTCAAAATACTAACTTATAAATTTTAATCAAAGTTTAGTACTTATTTTACATAATGTTACACCTGATAATTTCATGTGATTAGTTGATTTTTTTAGTTCTTATGTTTATATTTGAATATGATTTGTGATTTTATGTGTTAAAATGCGCAAAAGTATGTAGGCATTGATTTATCCACTATATAGGAACCTATACTTGTTACATAGTACTATTGTTTTCACATGTTCCCTAATATATTGATTAAATTCATTGTTTGGTAAACTTGCCAAATATTTAACATCTGTCTTGCCATATGTATTGGGTGTGAAGTAAATGGTCACAGTTTGCAGGAATAGTGCAAATATGTTATTGATGACTTATATAGATTTAATACAATATATCTTTATCATGTGATAATTGTCATTGATCTATGCTTAAGAGAATATTATGATAAATCATCATCAACATCATCATCATCAGCAGCATCCACATCATCATCAACATCATCATCAACTTCAATCATTATCATAATCATCATCATTATAATCTTCTTCTTCAATCATTATCATCATCAACATCATGATATCAACTTCAATCATAATCATCAACATCATCATCGTCTTCTTCTTCAAATCATTATCATCATCAACATCATCATTTTCTTCTTCAATCATTATCATTATCATCATCATCATCATCAACATCATCATTATCTTCTTCAATCATTATCATCATCATCATCATAATCTTCTTCTTCAATCATTAATATCATCATCATTATCATCATATTCTTCTTCATTATCAACATGAACATCATCATGAACATCATCATCATCATCATCATATTCTTCTTCATTATCATCATGAACATCACCATCATCATCATCATCATATTCTTCTTCATTATCATCATGAACATCATCATCATCATCATCATAATCACTACCACCACCACCACCATTATCATCATCATTATCAATCATCATAATCATCATAATCATCATCATTATCAATTGAGCAGGTAGAAAATTGCAAGAATATAGTGACATTATGGACAATTATATTACGTTAACCTGCTGAATTTCTTAAATGGACTTGTCCAGCTTCCATTTTTGGAATTGTCAATTGTTGGCATATCAGGATGAAAATTTTAAGTTTGTCAGCCAACAGTATAGAGCCTGATCAGACTGCATGGATTTGCAGGCTGCCCTGGCTCTAATAACTTACAGCAAAGACTAATTACTTTGGGATCCAGATAATAAAATGATCTGTTCTTGTTCCTTTCATGAAAATTGAATGTTTATGAATTATTTAATGAAATTTTGTAGCAAGATGTAAAGCGCCATTTGAAAGACGGAGACCAGCCTTATGCTGTAACTCATAGACCTTCAGGTAAAACCATTTTGCATGTTGTTGTTTTTTTGAAACCTGAGAATTCATTATCGTTTCTGTTCATGACATGTCCTGTATTTATTTTTTCCCATCCCCTTGTAAGCTCTTCTTTTTGAAGTGAAGCAATGGTAATTAACCCTGAAGATGGAGTTGGCCTTGGCAGGAATGTTCAGGTTATCATTTAGTTAAAGGAACTCCACTGAGGTTTAAAAGCCTTAGAACATGAGCTTTGAAAATTTTACATAAACCAACTGGGTCACTTTAAACAAGAAGATATGCAAAAGATTATTAAGCAATAGACTCAGAAATAGATTGAAAATCATATATTTTTGTGCTCTGTAACTCAGAGTGAAGTCATACATAAGTGGTTCAGGTCATTAACTTTGAATTTTTTGCCCCACACCACTGTGGGTTCAAATCCCAACAGTAAGTTCTACCAGGTGAGGAAGCTCTCCAGCCAGCTTATGAAAAGTATGTGGCTCTGCTCAGGTGCCTGCTCATGCCTGAAATAATGTACAGAAGGGCACCTGAGGTGTTTCTTTAAAAGTAAAGCTTGAAGGTCCCCATATGTATGTGTTGGTGTGACTTAAAACCCAACAAAACAAGTAAAAGAAGAAAATAAAGAATCTGACACAGATTCTATTTCCGAGTATAATCTTTAGGGGGCATAATCAACTTTTGTGAAATAATTTGTTTCTAGTTTAGCCTAAGATAATTATCCAATGAAATGAACGTGAAGCTGAACAAATAAAAATAATCTATAAAAGCCACTTGCAATGTTAAAATTACAGAAATTACCAAGTACAGAAATAAAGAAAACCTCTAGATTTCTATACTAGAAAAAACATACAATATTGTGATTACAAATTACATAAATTACAAATTACAGAAATGGAGAATTCATGTTTATAAACATTATTTTGTTTACAGTTCACCATCCACAGTCCCATTTACCTAATCAACCATCGATGTTCTCAAGTAAACTGATTCCTGAAAACATAAGAAATCTTTTAATAAAAGAGGCCGACTGGGACTTCGACATTATTGAACTTGAGAGAGTTACGCATAAAAGGTAAAAATAGTAGTACAGTCTATTGCTTATATACAATGTACATTGTATTTTGAATTATTTCATGTTTCGTTTATTGCTTACTGTATATTCATTTTGTTTTGTATTATTTCAAATATCTCGTTCTGTTTTAGTCTACACAGCAACTGACAGTGTAAAATGGATTTGCCCTGCTATAAAAATGGAATTGTTTTATATTAATTTTACAGGGGTTTCATTTCAATTCAGATTATTTTCATGGTATAGGAAAATCCTGGTGGGATAATTTTTAACCAGATTTTCCAGTAGAAAACTTGGTCCGGCTGGTTGTATAAACAGTTTCCACGAGTCCATATATATAGTAGTAACAGTTTACTCATGTAATATCCTTTATATAATTCTAGTTGTGTATGTGGCCCCCTTTGTGCAGTAACAGGTTAACTCTTTATATGATATAATAGGAGTTAACCAGTTAACCAGTTACTGCACTAAGATGACAATATACTATTGATTTTATAATCTTGTATACTTTTTTTACACTACAGACCTTTACTGTACCTTGGTTTACGTACGATGGCTAGGTTTGACGTATGCGGGTTCCTGAACATACCAGAGACTTGTCTGGCTAACTGGTTACAGGTGATCGAGGCCAACTATCACTCTCGGAATACGTACCATAATTCCACCCATGCCGCAGATGTTCTCAACAGTACTGCTTATTTCCTAGAGAAGTCAAAATGCAAGGTATTCACCCCTGAAATTATATAATGGCATTGCCCAGCTTCGAATTTAGGGACTGTTTATTATTATTGTAGGGATGTTATTATCAAAGAGCTGAAATTACCGCTTTTTTATTTAACCTTATATAACTATTTAAATATTGAGAAATGGTACCATTCCTAATAAAAGATTAGACAGCAGTTCATAATTCTGCTGTACTACCAAGTAAATAATCGGGAACAAGCTGGTACCCTCTTTCTAGGGTAATTCTTTAATTGCTATAATCACATTATTTGAAAGTCTGGATCCACGATATTTATTCGGCATTTCCATGACTTAACAGTTGACATCACATTGTGTAAAATTCCAAATTCGTGATAAAACAACACATTCTTCCAAGTTTATCTGGTACAAGCACCAATCTCAAAGTGTGTTAGTTCCCTTCATAGTCATTTTCACTTGTTATTTGTATCATTCAGCAGTGTATATTAATTGATTTTCACTAATTTCCGAGTCTTCATAAGTGTTGGTGTTTTTCATGAATTGTGATATATTTCATGAATTTTGGTATATTTTATGAATTTTGGTATATTTCATGAAGTTTGGTATATTTCATGAATTTTGGTATATCTCATGCATTTTGGTATATATCATGAAGTTTGGTATATTGCATGAAGTTTTGTATATTTCATAAAGTTTGGTATACATGTATTTCAAGAAATTTTGGTATACAGTCTAACTAGCCCATGCGACCATGTGTATTAAGCGACTTATGTCTTATGCGGCCACTTTCAATTCCCCCGATCATTTTCTCTCTTTATCTTTAATGTATTAAGTGACTTTTGCTCAACGCGACCAACGACGGCTAATTAGTCAGCTAATTGAGATCAATCTTTTCATTAAAGGACCACTTTTACCTGTCAAGTAATTGTGTTTTTAGAGAACGCCGCCTCGTAATGTCACAAGTGTCAACAATCAAAACACAATATATAAGAAAAAGAAAGCTGTCATGTATAAATTTTGACTTTTTATCATGCTTTGTCTTAAGAGACCGTTTTATTAAGCGACCGTTTCGGGCGTTTCCCTTGCACGGTCGCTTAATACAAGTTTTACTGTATTTCAAGAAATTTTGATATACTTAATGAAGTTTGATGTACTTTACAGGCAATATTTGATCCGATTGACGAGGTTGCTGCTCTCATTGCTGCTGCCGTACACGACCTCGATCATCCGGGGAAAAGTAACGCATTTCTCATCAACTCAAAACATGAACTCTCCATCCTTTATAATGACATGTAAGTTTTGCTTTGCTTCAACAAATCTAAAATAATACCAGTTGTGTGTGTATTTGCGTTTATTTATACTCGCCACCGGTTGCCCATATGGGCGAGCCCCCCAGAAGAGTATTAGTCATTTTATTTTTCGGAGGATAGTGCAATTACAGATACAGAAAGATGCCCCAATTCCAGAAGCTTCTCCTGGTTCTTTAGCGTGCCAAGTGTTTAAGCACCCATACACGGGACCTCGATTTAAAGTCTCATCCGAAAGACTGATTAGTAATTTTAGTTGGCCAGCCCGGGAATCGAACCCACAATGTCGAGATTACAAGTCTCGCGCTCTAACCTATTGAGCTATGCGGGCTGGCTTATAATACCAGTTAACTTGTTGAATTTCTTAAATAGGACTTGTTCATTGAGCCAGATCAGTCTGCATGGCTGGCTTGACTCCATACTGGTTGCAACAACTTACTACTTTTACAGTCCGCAGCCTCAGGATTAGTTAATTCTATTTATTTAAGCTTGTAGTGTAAATTGATTCCTTAATATTTGGACCAGTTTCGAGTGCCCCTCCTGCCACTAACCAATAATGGTGTCATATATGTTCCCCCCCCCCCCAGAAGGGTTTGAACCTATGCTTCTTGGGGTGTGAGGCCACAGTTCCTCAGTTTGCCATATTTAGAATCTAATGATGATGATGTCATATGTATATTTTACAGTGGTGTTATTATGTTTGTAGTATATTACATAACAATTCAGTGCTGTTTGATAAAGTTTATAGCATTTGACATATGAGCCGTGTCATGACAAAACCAACATAATGGGTTTGCGGTACCAGCATGGATCCAGACCAGCCTGTGCATCCGCGCAGTCTGATCAGGATCCATGCTGTTCGCTATCAGTTTCTCTACTTGTTATTGAGTATGTAAGCGAACAGCATGGATGCTGATCAGACTGCGCGGATGCGCAGGCTGGTCTGGATCCATGCTTGTCACAAACCCATTAGGTTGGTTTTGTCGTGACGTGGCTCATTTGGGGCAGCGTAATTGCTGTTTAAACACATGAAGAGCAATTAGCTGTTTTTAACAACGGTTTAAATGTTTTCAAAAGTTCAAAAGTAAGATTTCATTTGAAATTTAATCACTTTTGAGCAACCCCTCTGTAATATCCAGACCTTTGTTCTTCCAAAGTGTGTTTCTATTCAGGGGTTGTATTTCATTGTTGTGTAATTGCATTTATAATATTTTACATATATTTCAGTACTGTGTTATTACATTTATAGTATTTTACATATATTTTAGTACTGTGTTATTACATTTATAATATTTATATATATTCAGTGCTGTTTTTATGTTCACAATATTTTGCATGTATTTAGTACTGTATTATTACTTTTATAATATTTTTACATATATTTCAGTGCTGTGTTAGAAAGTCATCATGCTGCCCTCACCTTCAGATTAACTGCCCAGGATCCTGCAATCAACATATTTAAAAATCTAGACAGGTATAGAGTCTATTATTTCAAGATATTACATGAAAGTATCACTAGGGTTGTACATGTAGGCAGTTATATCGGACTAAATGATAACTGTTTTAAGAATGTAATCAAGCTGTACCACGTGACTTAATTAAGCTAACACCCTTCGCATCACCTTAGTGCAGTAATTAATTAATAGCTATTAAATTTAGAAGGACTTAGTCCGTTATTGCACAAAGGTGATGTTCGGTGCTGTACTTTTTGCATATCGTCACCTTAGTGCAGTAGCGGGTTAACTGCTATAAAAATTATAATTTATTAAAGGGATACGCAGGCAAATTAATGACAAAAATTTGAAAATGATCTTATGTACTCAAATCAAGCTGAAAAGACATTTTCTTAAAATCCCAGCATGAATTTCTGTATAAATTCTATATATTTTGGGTTTGAAGCATAAATATATCTATATATGTTGAACGAAATTTAGACGCCGACAGAATCACCGAGTAGTTTTAAAACAAGTCATGTGACTTGAACAAACCCTGGAAGTTACAATAACAGATATTGTGGATATTGTATGATTGAAACAAGTCTAAGCCATTCATTTGACATGTTCTTTAACGTTTCCAGAGTTCACTGTGACAACTTTTGTGAACTTTTAACGCTCTAACCTGACCCACGCGGGTCAAGTTAGGAAACCGACATTTTATTCTTTATAAGAAGAAAAGTTTTGCTCCTGTGACTGCCTGGTGTATTCATTTTGAGGACATTTACATAATAATGAATGAAAAATTTAAAATGAAGAAATGAAAATTTTGCCTGTGTCTCCCTTTGAACCATTTTACTGCACTAAGGTGACGATTTAATTTTTTATGAAATTTGATGTGGTGGTGTTTTATTTTCAGTGAAACGTTTCGTGTGATGAGACAGGGGATAATTGATATGGTGCTAGCAACGGAAATGATGAAACATTTCGAGCATCTGAACAAATTTGTCAATGGTATTAATAAACTCACTCAAAAAGTCGAGGAGACGTCTTCTATGGTAAGTTATCTCTCTGAACCACCTTTGTTGTGTTGTTAAGGCAAGATACAGTCTCTCTGAGCTACCTATGATGTGTTGTGAAGGTAATATACTGTCTCCCTTTGCTACCTTTGTTGTGTTGTGAAGGTAAGATAATATCTCTCTCCGTTACCTTTAATGTGTTGTGGAGGTAAGACACTATTTATCTGAGCTAACTTTGTTGTGTTGTTAAGGCAAGATACAGTCTCTCTGTTACCTTTAACTTTGTTGTGTTTTTAAGGCAAGATACAGTCTCTCTGAGCTACCTATGATGTTGTGTAGGTTAGATACTATGAAAAATTTCTGTAATAATATTAAATCATTCCGTAGAACAAATTAAATTTTACACCCTAACATGAAGGTCAATAATTAAGTATTGACTAATATCCAGTAAAATCATAATAAATACCAGGTGTCTTTCATTTTCTCATGCAAGATTTTCATAAAACTGTTTCTCTGTATACATTTCTTTCATGTAAGAGAATGATTTTCATTGGTGTGTCTGTTTGAGAAAATACTTATTTGGCCATTCTTATTAGGGTCTGTAATTCTTAAATGCTAAATCTGTTTCCATACCTTGAATTTGATTTTTGTTGTTGCTGTTGTTTTGTTTGGATTTGTGGCGGCCCAACACGATTTATGTCACATGGCCAAGAGATGCATAGACAAGTAATTCGAACCAATTTAGTGGCCTGATTCATCCTTGCAGCGATAAACGATGGCAACAATTCTGATGCTGAAAGGCGACCCCTCATCTGCAAAGTTATACCTTGCTATATATTTTACAGAGTGGGACAGGATCTCCAGACAGTGCGACATTGATCAGTCAACTGTCGACAACGGAGAACAAAACGCTGATACGACGTATGCTCATTAAGTGTGCTGATGTCTCAAATCCTTGTAGGCCGGTGAACCTTTGTATGGAATGGGCGAAAAGAATAGCAGAGGAATACTGTCAACAGGTAAGACTATATCTGAACTTATGATTAATTTCAAAAATTCATTTTTTTTTTTGATCAATAAAGTTGTAACATTTTGTGTGTTGGAGTTGCCTAAATAAAAGTAATGCTTTGTTTTCTGAAGTCTGTATTAGGCATTTCTGACTCTAAATAACTGTGTTTGCCCTTAATAAGGCTTTATGTCATAAATAATTCTATATGCCTTTATAATGAACTAATGCCTAAAAAATGCTCTCTATACATTGTTAATACTATGCCCTTGATAACACTATGCCCTAAATAATGCTATGTCCTTGATAATTCTTAGCCCTTAATAACACTATGCCCTGTATCACACTTTGCACTTAATAACACTATGCCTTTGATAACACTATGCCCTTTATCACACTTGGCCATTAATAAAACTATGCCCTTTATCACACTTACCCATTAATAAAAATATGCCCTTTATCACACTAAGCCTTTAATAACACTATGCCTTTGATATCACTATGCCCTGTATTACACTATGCACTTAATAACACTATGCCTTTGATAATTCTCTGACCTTTAGAACACTTATGTACTATGCTCTTTAGCACACTATGCCCTTATATAATAAAGATACGCCCTATATGACACTTTATACATAAATAACACTATGCCCTTGTGATTTATTACACTTTGCCCTTTAAAACACTATGCCCATGTCCTGGATACACTTTATACATAAATTTACACTATGCCAATAAATATCTGTACCCTGAATATGATATAATCAATCTGTGTACAGCCAATGTGGCAACAGAACCATATTTTTAGCATATTAATTATTATAAGAGATCTTTCTCACAGAAGAAATTGTTTGATACATTTTAAAAATTACATGTATTTGAGCCGCGTCATGACAAAACCAACATAATGGATTTGCGACCAGCATGGATCCAGACCAGCCTGCGCATCTGCGGAGTCTGATCAGGATCCATGCTGTTCGCTTACAGACCCTATATCAAGTAAAGAAACTGATAGCGAACAGCATAGATCCTGATCAGACTGCGCAGATATGCAGGCTGGTCTGGATCAATGCTGGTCGCAAACCCACTATGTTGGTTTTGTCATGACACGGCTCAATTTTTTTTTAATAAATGACACAATATTGATTTTACAGACAGATGAAGAGAAACAGTTAGGTTTACCGGTGGTGATGCCAGTATTTGATAGGAAAACCTGCAGTCTACCAAAGTCTCAAACAAGCTTTATAGATTTCTTCATTAACGACATGTTTGATGCATGGGACTGTAAGTGAAATTTTTTTAGAGTTTTCTCCCTTTTGTAATCTTCTGAAAAGGGGGGTAAAAGTGATCCATCAATTTATAACGAGTGAGACTAAAAAAGGATTGGAGCAACACACTAAATACCATATTCCGGTATATACCGGACAAGGCCCTTGAATGATAAAATGCTAAAATCTTGCTTTTAACCAAACGGAATGAACTTTAACAGGTCTTATTCATCTTTTCACACTGATTTAGGTACGATAATGAATAAAAATTGTAAAAATAGCCAAAAAAAATTATATCTTTTATTTTGTGATCATGATTTCTGCAAGCATCTAGAGGTACTGCTCCAATCCTGTAATGAGTTATATCCATTTATAACGTTGATTATGTTGTTGATTTTTTAAGTAACTTCAGCTTTTCTAAATGTTAGATATGTTAGTTGTAGATAAATCGTTTCATGTAAATGTCAAATCAAAAGTATTAAGGTGGAAAATGAAATTTGACATACAAAAATGACACCCCTCAATAGCTATAATCTACCAGTTCATTCTCTTGATGTTAAATAGTAAAGCAGCGATTGGTTTCCCAATCTTCAGCGTGATATGCTATAAATAGCCCTTGGGACACTGTTTTGAAGAAGGCATAACAGTGATTTGGTGCACTTTTCCAAAATGAAATTACTGAAATAATTAGTTTGGAACAACACAGAATTGTTTTTCCAACAAAAAATATAAAAAAAGCTGAAGGCCGGTTTAAGTGAGTTAAACAGCAATTGTTAGGTTTTCGTTTAAACATTTTCGCAGAATTTAGCTTGACGGATTAGTTATTGATATTGGCTGATGTAGATTTATTATACAGTCTATGAAGTCTGCTGTTTTTCCACTGTTGGCATTTGAACAGTGAATAATAGACAGAATTTGAAATGCCAAACTAAATTCTGAAAGATTTCGTCTCATTTTGCTGGATTCTTTTGCCTTTTTTTTAGAAAATTGTCACTAATTTTTATTGACATCTGTTGTCTGAAAATGATGACACTCTGTTATATGAAGTCCACTTAAAGCATAAATACATGTATGCCATTTGTTGTTGTTTTTTTCAAATGGGTAAAACCAAAAGTTATATTCAAACGCCCAATATTTTCAACAATTGTGATACCAATTTTGCTATTACACCAACTTTGCTAATACGAGTTATATTCTCATTTTAAGATAAACTGTCCTATTCCAATATTTGTTATTATGTAAAGAAAATTGAAATGAAATTAAAAAAAAAAATCTGACAATTTTCAGATTTCTGTGATATTCCGGAGTTAATACAGCACCTTCAGGAAAACTACAAATTCTGGACGGAGGAGGAGGAGCACCCAACCCACAACTACGACCTCCCAGTGAAAGGACCAGAGCAAAACACTGACACTGCTTCAAAATCCACAGAAAATAAGAGCACTGTAGCTTTAGAAAACACTGACAGACCTACTGAAGATACGTGAATCTATCTGACTTGTTTTCTTAGTGTTTTACAATATATACATACTATGGTAGTGTGATGAGCCAGTCTCCTGGCCTCACTTTCAACTACAGTCACATGGTTTGGTCAGCTGACTAGTTGTTTTAGTCATGTGATCTCTTTGTCGTCTGCTGCAAGTTGCTATAAATAGCAAAGTGCTACCTGTGAGACAAATGTGACACTAATAGGAAGTATTTTGCGGTCCAGTGATATTGCAGTCGAACGTGTCATTGTGAAAAAAATTGATATAGAAAAAAAATATATATACATATACAACTATATACCCTTAAACAAGATCTATTTTTAAACGCGGATGATTTTTCAGCTCCACAGGAAATGGTGAAGAAAAGGTTGTGCGAAAAATGTAGAGTGAATATTCAACATTCAATGTATGCCTGTGTTCTTTGATCAACCCTTATTTTTGTCCAGACAATATTTATAAGAAGTATCCTGTTTTTACACACGTACATGCTTTACCTCTGACTACATACTTGACGGTTCCAGTGCCCAGTACACTTTTTAGAAATAGGCTATAGACTGTATCACAAGTCTTGTTAAGTAGAGGTAGATTTTTGTTAAGTGTCATACAATGTTAAATGATGTATAATTTATGTTTTGATCTAAGTTTGAAGAAGCTTAGATCTGTGCTAAGTATGATCAAGTTCAGTGAGGTGTTTTAGCTTAAACATCACAATATATGTGCTTTTAGAATAAGTTTAGTGTCAATTTTTACTAAATATGTCTTGTTTATATGTTCTGTAAGTGATATACACAGGTATTTGTGTCAACTTATTCTATTTAGGATATTTTATGTCTGGATGCAAGACTGTATTACTATTTTTAGATCTTTGTTAAATATTAAGTAGCGGTTAGTTGTTTAAATCTAGACTAAGACAAGTTAAGATATTACAGAAGTTAAATGTGATAATTTCATATACCATTTGCATAAAGTACAAAAATATTTTCTGTTAACAGCTTCTTGCACAAATGTTAGAATAGTCCCGGACATCTGGGATTGTCCCGGGCACCCAGGATTTACAACGAGGATTGTCCCGGAAATCAGTGAATGAGTGAAAACTGTCTGTTTCCAACATGCACCTGTTTATCTTATGGCACCTGTTACATTTTGTATGTTTTTAAATAATGCTAATGCTACTAATTTATACTAAAAAACAGAAGCTGTTCTGTTGTTATATTAAAAATTGTTATCATCCAAGAAAAGATATATGATGTTTTAAATTTCCATGATAATTTCTTATTAATAAACTTGTTTTAACAAAGATTAACACTTGAAACTTTGATAGATTTATGCACAACTTAATTTTTCACCATCAGAAAAGTAATAGTAATTGTGTATAAACCTGTATTAAGGTTAAGTAATGCATAGTTTAAAATTTCTGTTTTTACTCCACTTGTTACATAAAACAACACAAAGCAAAACTGTTTTATAGCTTTGTAAACATTTGTCTTAAGACATTTAAAGTTCAATAAACCGGACATGGTAGGGACTTGATAAAATTTCTGCTTTTTTTTTTTTGGTCAGGTATCTTTAAAACCAAGTTTCCGATTTATTGTGAAAATAGAAGAAATAAAATCGGGACTCTGAGAAATGTCCGGTTTACTAGGGTTTAGGGTTTAGTGGATATCAGGTTTTGTGATTTTTCATGATACCATTCTTTTAATAAGTCATTGACATTTAAACATTTACAGAAAAGTATAACGTATTGTAAAATTGCTCATATTATTCAATTATGCTGCTGAATAGATATTTTACAAAATTTTGAAAAAATCGCTCATTGATTTAATTAGGTAATATTTGTAATAAATTAGATATTTCACAATAATTTTATTTCATGATCACTGTTGCTTGTTTACAAACCACACATAGTTAGCCAACAACTTTGTTATTTTTGTGCACATTTTTTAAATATATTTTCAGGATGTTTTAGCCACTGGTATACATTAAGTGGTGTATTGCCTAACTCTAAGTAAAACTTGCTTGCATTTTGTTGTAACTTCAATTTTGCCTAACTTAAAATGCTGCTCATGTATTTTTAGTGGTATGTTGCTTAACTAAAAGTTATATGGTTTAGCGCCCATACATGTGAACTCTCCCACTTTTAGCGGGAGACTCCCACTTTCTGCAGCCATATGTTCAAAGATTTTTCTTAAAATAAAGGGTATTTTCACATATTAAAGAAATCTCCCTATTTTTGATGACAGAACTCCATTCTTTGTTTATTGCAAATTCTAAAATCTCCCTATTATTGAAGAAAAATCTCCCACTTGATCATCAAAAAAAGCGCCCAACTTTAAACGATTTATGAATACAAAATATTGTCACCTTAGTGCAGTAATGGGTTAACTCCATATATAATTTAAATAGGAGTTAGCCCATTACTGCACTAAGGTGATGATATAACAGACGATATAACAGACAGAAACCTGGAACATGATATAACAGGACATGCAACTTCTGGCAATTTTCGACAAGATAAGCGATCTTATATTGGCGTCTAATTGACAGCTGATTGATTGATAAACCTAATGGCATATATTACTGTCATTATTTGAAAACAAATTGATTTATTTTCATAACATCTGATGGGTTCTTAATACCAAATGGGCCAAACACGTGTTGAAATTCAAGTCAATAAAAAAAGAAAGATTTTGAGCCCCAAAATCCAGCTGAAAATCCAGTTTTGACCCATTTCAGTTGTCAAATGTATGACATCATGTCAAAATTATTTAAATACAGAAAGACTATTAAAATCTTATGCCAGTTGGCTTATAATTCTCTTATTGTCATTGTGTACTACAGACAAAAAAAAACAACCCATTTTAGAATGATGAACAAGACAAAATAGCGGTGCATGGGCCTGATTGGATGAAAAGTTGAAAAGTAAACTCTAGTTGCTAGTTTGATTATATTTTGTCACGGCAGAAACATTTCCAACACTGTAGAATAAAATCTGATGTGCAAGAAAAGTTTTCTATCATTATCCCTTTATTCTGTTGAAGGCCAAAGTTCACAGATATACTTGTTTACAGTCAAGCCTGTATTCAAATAACACATGGTGCAAAGTGACTTTGAGGTTTCTGTCTTTTTAAAGGCCCATTAAGCCTCCGAGATGCTATTATTTTTATTTCCCGAAACCTTTTTTGTTTATTTTATGGATTTTAGAATTAAAGAATTATTGATTTTTGAGGCATAATGTGCCTTTAACTATGAATTTCAAGGTCAAGGGAGAGCATTAGTTACAGAAAACATCCTCTTCCTAGCTCCCAAAAGAAAATGAAGATACAGTGAAGCCTTTGCAGAGCAATTACCTCTTTATAACAACACCATTATTTCTTCCCAAAGTAAAGATTTCTGATGTATATATACCTCTGTAGAGCAACACCCTCTAAGCAACAACCAAAATATTTGAGCCGCGTCATGAGAAAACCAACATAATGGGTTTGCGACCAGCATGGATCCAGACCAGCCTGCGTCCGCGCAGTCTGATCAGGATCCATCCTGTTCGCTATCAGTTTCTCTACTTGCTATAAAGTTTGTAAGCAACAGCATGGATCCTGATCAGACTGCACGGATGTGCAGGCTGGTCTGGATCCATGCTGGTCGCAAACACATTATGTTGGTTTTGTCGTGACGCAGCTCATTTGTCTCCCAAAGGGTGTTGCTCGAATCAGGTTATACTGTAACATTTGGCTCTTAGATAATCACAGTGTTACTGTAATATTGTAACTTTTGCTGTTCTGAAGTCAAGATGTGATCGTAATAAAATGCTTATTATTTTATAATCATAATGGAAGAATATAGTAATACGATTTATATAATAATTATTATAATACTGCACGTTTGTAACGTCGATTTTCATTGGATAATCGTGACGTTTATATAGTTTTATATAAACGGCTGCTAAAAACAGGGAATCTTTAATAACAGTCAGTTGAAATGTGCAGTTGTGAAAAACAGGAAAATGATAGAATGTTCATTACGTTAACATTACAAATGTTTAGTGATTTTATGTACCACACAGATTTACTTTTTATGTTTAAAAGTATTAGACTTTTGGTTGTTAAAATGAAATTGTTGTTTTTTTCTTCGAATTGGTCTCGTTAATGTAAGGGCACATTACCCAATGATGTGAAAAACATGTTGTGTTATCTGTGTTTTCAAGGTATAGTTATTTTGCTTATATTATATGAAGAAAAAAAGATTTATGTGATAGTTACGCATTTAAAAATGTGTAGCATTATTTATATTATAGACTGTATTGACCTTTGACCTGCTGGAACTGAAAATGATTAGCCCTTGTCACCAGTATACAACCAGGCCAGCTTGCACATCCGTGTAGTCTAACCAGACTTTATACCGTTGGTAGCTCAATTTTTTTAAATTTTTTTTTACGATATTGAAATCCCTTATTTTTTAAATAGATTATTCCAAATTCAAAGCTGGACAAGTTCATTACAGAATTTCATCAGGTTAATGGTTTAATATGTATTAATGAATGATTTTTGAAATTATAATGGCCCAAGGTTGTAAAATGATTAAATGTGGGACCAGTCTAAAAATGCTTCTTTGCCATTGGTTGATTTCAAACTACTGTGAGGAGTTAACCAATAGGAACGAAGCTGATGATGTATTTTGGACTGGTTTGAAGATTTTACAACCAGACAAGGCCCAAGGTTGTAAAATGATGAAAAGGGAGACCAGTCTGAAAATGCTACTCTGCGATTGGTCTACTTCAAATTTCTGTGAGGAGTTGACCAATAGGAACGAAGCTGGTGATGTATTTTGGACTGGTTTAAAGAATGAAGTTTTACAACCAGACAATGTGGTTTCTATACCATTTAATGTATTAAAATGTGTGAATAGAAGAGTATGTGATAATTATAATATAGTTAATAAATTATTCAAATCTTTAGTATTTTGTTAGGGAAAATTATTACTGTTTGATTTAGTTTTATTGTTCTGTTATAACTGATGATTTATAAATGGCAATACATGTATATTATTTTCAATGGCTAAATGATTTTACATTTTCTTACCTGTTATGATAATAAGCTACTGGAATGCATTTACCACAATATTTTTCTTTATAATTCTGCCACAGGTTATATTAAATTTTACCAATTTGTTATTTTTATAGATAAAGAGATTTTTAAGATGTCTAAGTTATAATTTATATTGCATTTAAAGCTTGTTTACAGGATTAAGTCAAATTGCATTTAATGCTTATTGACTTTGAGCCATATTTCAGGAAATACTTTCTGATTTAAAGTTTATTTATTGCATTTAAAGCTGAATGACTGTAAATTGTATTGCACTTAAGGCTTATTGTATTCAAGTCATATATTGCATTTAAGTAAGGCTTATTGGCAATTAGTCATATGATACTTGAGGCTTATTGGCTTAAGCTTTGATGCATTTAAGGCTTCTTGGCTTAAGTCATACAACATTTAAAGCTTCTTGACTGTTAGATTTATTGCATAGCTGTAAGCGATATTGTATTTAAGGCTTAATGGCTGTGAGCAATATTGCATTTAAGGCTTATTAGCAGTAAGTCATGCATCATTTAAAGCTTACTGGCTGTAAGCAATATTGCATTTAAGGCTTATTAGCAGTAAGTCATTGATGGCATTTAAAGCTCACTGTCTTTAGGCAATATTGCATTTATGGCTTATTGGCTGTAAGTCATGGCATTTAAAGCTCACTGGCTTTAGGCAATATTGCATTTAAGACTTATTAGCAGTAAGTCATGGCATTTAAAGCTCACTGGCTTTAGGCAATATTGCATTTAAGGCTTATTAGCAGTAAGTCATGGCATTTAAAGCTCACTGGCTTTAGGCAATATTGCATTTAAGGCTTATTAGCAGTAAGTCATGGCATTTAAAGCTCACTGTCTTTAGGCAATATTGCATGTACGGCTTATTGGCTGTAAGTCATGGCATTTAAAGCTCACTGGCTTTAGGCAATATTGCATTTAAGACTTATTGGCTGTAAGCAATATTGCATTTAAGGCTTGTTGGCTATAAGCAAGATTGCAAATCTATTGCAATCAGCAAGTTAAAAAGTTAAGGTATTTAAAATGACTTTGAAACAGTATTGCATGGAGGTGAAAAAGTTTTTTTTGTTTAACAAGCTACATGTACATGACATGTTCCATATATCCAGCTGCTGAAATGATGGTTTTGCTCCTGAGTGGCATCCTAACATATCATTTTCATTCTTGATGTTAAGAGATTAATTTCTATCCATTGCAAATTCAAAAGCCTGCAATATCTTTATAATTTTACTACATGTGTTTTTAATTTGCATTCAACATTCTTCTAGTATTCCTTTTTATTAATTATTTTTCATATAGAGTTTTAAAAATGGCATTCATGATTTTTTTGTTTTTCTTTGCCTGAAATTTATTTATTTATATGAATGAATAAAATTTTATGTTGATTTCTTTTGACAAATTTTACATCATTGAAATGTCATTTCATACAGAACTTAGCTACCAACTTCACTCTAGTGTGTTGGGCAGCTTAGTAGTTATTTAATTCTTGTTTATGGATGAATATTGGATAAATCAAATATACCAATGAAAGTTGGTATATTAAATTTTTCTAAACCACTCTCTAAGTATTATACTTTTCAATAGATTTTGCTTTGTAATGAACAATTTTATTGGCTGGTTATAAATAGCTCAAAGATCATCCTAATTACTTTCAGTAATGAACAATTTCATTGGCTGGTTATAAATAACTTTAAGATCATTCAAATTTCTTTGCGTAATGAACAATTTCATTGGCTGGTTATAAACAGCTTTATTTTTAGCTCGACTATTCGATAAGAATAAGTAGAGCTATTGCAGTCACCCGAGCGTCGGCGTCGGCGTAACCACTTATGTTAAAGTTTTTGTAATAGTTCAAATATTTTCAAAGTCCATAGACATATGGCTTTGAAACTTTGCACACTTGTTCACCATCATGACCCCAACCTGTAGACAGGAGGAGGTAACTCTATCAAGCATTTTGACAGAATTATGCCCCTTTTTCGACTTAGAATTTACGTTAAAGTTTTTGTAATAGTTCA